TCCAGAATGGTCGAAGAAATGACTGCCAAGATTTAACGTCACAATTGTAGAGGCTGCACCTGGGACGTACCAACGGCAATGAGGCGTATCATATGTCCCAAGGGATGAAGAAACTGCATTGAGACAATGTGAAAAAGACCCAGGTGGTGTATGTTGACAACTTGGCTGAAGTTCTCGTGCCACTGTATGAAGGTGAATCATGCAACTAAATTATTAGGTCTTATAAGGAGTCATTCAGATATAGACTGTCGTCCCTCGTAACGCGATCTCCAAGAAGGAGGCGCTTCCCCGTCTAAAATACTGTCATCCTCTAGATAATCACCCCATCTGGTCCTAAGGATATGCTGAGGACTGTCAGTCGATTGAAAATGTCAAGGAGGGGCCACCAGCGCTTCGGCTACCTTGAGATCAGAACGTCTGCAATTGGCAGCTTATACTACAGACGGGCAAGGAGACCTAATTGAGGTGTATAAACATCTGGAAAAGGGCGCTACTCAGTCGAGTGTCCTTACCTGGAGCTGGCAGACGCTATTATTATTTCTATTATTATTATTATTACTATTATTATTATTATAAATAATAATAATATTATTATTATTATTTGGGAGGAGCCATGTCGTCGGTTCTGTGAGTGTTCATTACAGTAGTTCAAATCGTCGCCATGGGTAGAATAGGGGAATGCAGGGGAAGGTATTGTGATGGGATGGAATGTTTGATTGACGTTGGTCTTGGGGGAGGGATGAAGGGAAGAGGTGGAGGAGGGAGGAGTGGAGTGGGGGGATGGTGGAGGGGGAGTGGGGGAGAGAATAAGTAGTCGATTAGTGTTGAGGTGTGGTGACCCACGATGCTCAAATAATGAGGTTTAATAGTTGGGTGGGTAGAGGCGGGGGCGTGGGGGGGAGGCTAGGCGCGGAGTTGGAACTCTTCAAGAATGACGATCATCACTCCACGAATAACTATAGACCGGTGAGCCTGACCAGCATAGTATGTAAAGTATTTGAGAGCATTATAAGATATGCCATGATGGAACATCTATTACGAAACAACCTTGAGATTGCCAACACGGTTTTATGCCGGGGCGCTCCTGCTAAACAATTATTCAAGGTACTGAATGTTTGTACCCAAATTCTGGAACAGGGTGATAATATCGACAGCATATACCAAGATTTTGCCAAGGCTTTCAACAGTGTACCCCATGATGCCAAGTTATTTCGGGAAATTAAGAACCAAGCAGACTCTGAAGAGCTGCAGAAGGATCTCTGAGCTCCAAGAATGGTCGAAGAAATGACTGCCAAGATTTAACGTCACGAATTGTAAGAGGCTGCACCTGGGACGTACCAACGGCAATGAGGCGTATCATATGTCCCAAAGGGATGAAGAAACTGCATTGAGACAATGTGAAAAAGACCCAGGTGTGTATGTTGACAACGAGCTGAAGTTCTCGTGCCACTGTATGAAGGTGAATCATGCAACTAAATTATTAGGTCTTATAAGGTCATTCAGGGTCTGGCTCAAGGTTGAAAAGCCGCAAGCCCAGAAAACTGCGAGGGGTAACTTTTTCGGAGCGAGAGTTGTGACCATCTGCCAGTGTTGTGACGGCTTACGAAGAACCGGGATCCCCCAATTAGTCGTTATTATGCTGGTTTACTGTACAGTATTACATTTTCTGATAGACCTATGGACGGTCAATCGCAACCATGGACATGGCCTAATTTAAATTTTCTGTATAAATCTTGGTATATGGCAATATTTTCATGGTTATACATACTTACCAACAGTGCATAATAGATGCGACACCACCCAAGCAGCTAACAAGCCAATCAGTGGCAAAGAGGATGAAGTAATATTCATCTATATTGAAAAACCCTTAAGCACTATTAAAATACTCTCCGGTAAATGATCTTGTCACACAATATGGTAAGGTTTTAGGATAACAAATATACATTTGTAGCTTTAGTTATATTACATATATTTACTACAATCAACATTATTAACAATATATAACTACAATAAATATCACTAGCCTCCTGAAGGGGGGTAAAACGAGTTTTTGAAAATACAGATTAGCATAAAAAAAATTGCATTTGACTAATCACTTTACACATGTATATTAATTACAAATACCTACAAGAGATACTCTTGAACACTTTTTGTACAATTAAATTCTTGAGTAAGCACCACAAAACAGGTCAAGCACAGAGGAATTGCACTGTAATGAGCAAGAGTGCGTAGATCACATCAACACAATAAGACATCTACACAGTAACAGAAGTACCAAAGTAAAAAAATTTAATGGTCGTGAAATAATCGTTGGGGCAAGACTAACACTGATCTAGTTCCATGTATTGTACATGAACACAAACATACCTATGTGGCTTGTAATGCAGGATATATATTATGCATTGCTGGCCACTTGAGCAGTTTATATTATCCCAACTAAATTAGGATTCATGCTTTTATGAGTCTTGTTCAAATATCTTCAGGCAAAATTTTTTTTTTTTTTTTAACGAAACAAAAGTTCCATCGATTCACATCCAATAACTTAATCGTGCAATTGAAGCAAAGCTACCGGGGTACAGAATACACCAGTAAGGCCCTAACAGTGAAATGAAATAAAATAGTTCATGGTGTGGGTATGCGTAAGAAACTGGACACCAATATATATATATATACACTGCACTGAAATAGTTACCAAGCTCCAGTTCTGTTAAAAATTGGACGACCATAAACTTATAATAAAATTAACACTTCCATGACTTACTACACAAGTTAATGGAAACTTGTATGGAAAAATAGTCTTCCTCTTCCCGAGTATAAATGTGGTACTCAATAAAGATAATTACTGTATACATGGTTTCTGAAGGGTTTCTGGAGATATAAAAATATTTTAGACTTCGGAGAACTAGAATTATTGAGTGACTAGTGTATGCACATTCCTATGTTATGTACAATCATAAATTTTCTAATAAATCACCAGGTAATAACCGTTCAATATATAGATAATTCGTATTTCCTCTGGTAGAGATCCTTTAAGGTATTCTGTACATGAAAAAGTATTTTGCACAAAACTTGCCATTGTCAAAATATAATTAATGATCATTACTTTACTTCAACAAAGGTTTTAACAGGTGTACAGCTGTATACAGTATAGTAAACCTAATGCCATGCACTTAATGCAACAAGTCTTAACGTTTACTCGTAAAAGTCTTTTGTCATTAAATACTTTTTAAATACAGTATTGTTAACTTAAAAGTTACTAAATCAATACAGTACAGCACGGAAAACTTACTACTCACTAATTTGTACTTTAGTTTGGTCATCTAGTGAGGGCACCATACAATAACATTATGAAGTTATTATTTATAGGAGGTTGTAGTAGCCAATAGTTCCCAAGATAATTTTGTCATTTCAAATGGATCAAAACACATACAAACTGAAACCCCTAAAACCTGATACACAAAGCTTCAAAAAACGAATCCCATATTAAAAATTTTCTTATATCACTCGTTTTGTAATGTTAAAATTTTCAGAAGTTTGCAACAGCAGAATCCCATTACAAATTTAACTTCCACAAATAATTGTTTTTCTCATTACCAAATGGCATTTAAAGTTATCTATCTAATCTCCAGCAGATTAATACCTTTTCATTAATTTCACTTTGGTATAAATTAATTTATGTAAGTAACTTACCACTTCTATGCAATAAATGTTTTTCATATTCAGTCTTTTTGGCAGAAACTGACATTTGATATGTTAATACGACCACAGTTATATTGATTCTAAACTTTGGGAGAGCATCATGGAGGCATGATCATACCTGAAAAATAAATAAATAAATAAAAAGGATGAGAGATTCTACAGTTCTGTCATTCTATATCTTCCTCCTATAAGCACTTGATAAAACTAAAGAGGTTGACAAAGATGTGTTATGACTGAGGACTGGTTACCCGTAGTGTCACGGTATTCATTCTAGGTGAACGACAGCAAAAAATCAAAGAAAACATAGGTGTTACAAGGCTAGACCCATCCTACAGGTAAAAGCAAATGTCCAAATCCCCCCACTTAAAAGAAACAATTGGTAAATCTGAACTTAGTTTCCTAGATAGATTAATTCAATTATGACAAGTTCACAAGATTCACTCACTGTTTGGTCTTAATTGGTGCCGAACCAAAAAATATGGATTCCTCGAGGTCATCTCTATAACAGGGTATGTTGATATTCACCTGAAAGTATGCAATATACACATGAAAAATTATCAAAGCATGCATAAATAAATACGTATACATGAGGACAATTTGCATATTGTAAAATTTATCTTAATTTAGTTATACACTTCAGCATGAACATAAGTGTAGGTGCTGCACATAGGCCATGGGCGTCTATAGTTTCCTGCATGCCGAGACAGTGTAAATAAACAATGGTAAACAGTAAGGTAACTTGACAGAGCCATCACGTGCTTATTTCCATGAGGTCCTTTGCTTAGGCTTACACTTGTCTTCTGATCAGTAATTGTATGTTTGCAGGAGTACTGTACAGTAATACCTGTTAGCCTGGATCTCTCTTAACTGGAACTCTCCGATAACCGGAATTTAAATTTTCTCAGAAAATCGTTTCTAAACCCTTAATTTTCAGGAAAATTCCGGCTTCTGTAACGATTTTCCGAGGGGCACGTTATCTGGAAAATTCCAGTGATGGGGAGTTTTTTCCGGGTTTGAGAGATGAAAATCCGGCGCATTTTCCGGAAAATCTGAGAAAATTTTTCCATTACCTGGAAAATTCTGGGGAGGAGGGATATTTTTCCAGCTTTGAGAGTTTTCTTATTACCCAGAAATATCTCATTCCCAGAAGTGCTCTGCACCAATTATTCCAGCTAACAATGTTTATTTGATAGAATTCAGCAATAATGGAACCCTTTTGTAAATCAGGGGAACCTTTAAATGTTTTGGACAGAAATGAGGTTACAAATTATCCAGCCAGAAAATAGTAAGAATATACCTAACTTACAGCTTTTGTAGTAAATGGTTCACTAGGTGTGGTGGTCAGTATTGATCCAGTCCCCGCCTCTCCACTACATATCTGCTTGTCTTTATCGTTATCATCCAGTTCATTGTGGTGGCGGGTGTATGCTCCATCCCGGAAGATCATCAGGTACACTGCTGTCATTACCACCTCACAAAAGAAATTTCAGTCAATACAAAATCTATACTCGGAAGAGGTTTGTTTTTGGACTCGAGATGTTCCCCATCCAACTATCATGCAATAAATAGAAATAACTTAAGAGATCAACAGAATTTAAGTTTTACTCCACTAGGTCATGATGCTACTGTAATAAAACGTTACTGAAACAAAATGATGGTTTGAATGTAATCACACAATAGCAATGAAAATGTATATATAAATTGTCGTTTTAATTAGTATTTCCAAATGAGAATGGGGAGGCGGATGTGTAATGTGTTAAAATAATACTGAACCATATTGAGGATATTAGTGAAGTTGTACATAGAGGAAGGCCGAGATAGTTCAGACAAGTCGAGAGAATGTAGGAGAGCAATTGGATCACGAGAGGCAGGAGTCTAAATATGGAGGTGAGGAGAGCCAAAGGTAGACCAAGAGGGACATGGGGAGATAAAAAGTGACCTCAGTTAAGAATCTGACAAGAGACACTGCAAGGGACTGTACAGTATGTATAGCTGGCATCGGGTAATCAAGGTTAACCCGTTTACGTGTGGAAAATCATAAAATGGTAGTGATGATTCATATAAAAAATGTATGACTGCCATATGATAATTCTTTCGAACTGGAAACTAATTTCCACACCCTATTACACTTCTCAAAAGATGATGTAGAATCAGGGTAACAAATATGATCATCAAGACTTAATTAACCATGTTATATCAATTCAATCCAGTGTAAATAATAAAATTAGTTAGGTCTGCTGTCATTAGGAGCATCGGAGTCATTATCATTAGGAGTACCTGAGGTCATCATGAGCAGAATACCCATTTTATGGTGGTCCTTATAACACATGTGAATCACTTGGCATTTACATTAGCCCATTTGTTCAAGAACAACTAGAAGAGTGTTATATCTGAACCATGCAGCACTTGACAAGAGACATGTTTACTGTACTGTATATATACTTCTATTAAGTCACCCCTTGCCTGCCTATAGTATAAAACTAGGCAACTGTATGTTCCAGTTTCTCTGGGTACCCAAGTTAACATAGTGCAGGCACCAGTTTGGTGGTCTTCCCTTGGATATTTTGAATCAACTGACAATCTCTAGCATATCTTGGGGACCAGACGGGGTGACTACTGCAAATGGAGGTAGATGTTGCTTTTGAGGAGCATTATGAAGGTCAGACCGTCTAGGTATGTGGACACCCTTCTTGTACGCCCTTGTCCTACGCTTAGCTTCATTTGAGTAAGAATTGTGAACTCTTGGAATAACCTGTCAGAGAATGTTGTGACAGGAGTAGCCGACCCCGCGAATTCCCCAGTGTATGCCTCGTGGTCTAGGTCAACCAGCGCCGCTTTACATGACGGAAGTCAACTATTAAGCCACGCCTACCTCCGCTATATAAGACCTGACCTCGTGGTGACCTCTCTTTTTTCTACCTACACCAAGCAACACCTCTCCTCCAGTATTGCGCTCATTTGAGACCAGACTTCAACACTAGCACATTCAGGTATATTCAAGAGCCCATACATAGTAATGTATTTGCCAAAAGTGTACAGGGTATAAGAGAACAGACCAACTGCCCGACCAGCTAGTGAGATAACCAGTGGTGAAGAATATATGTACGAGCAACTGTGAGTGACTTAGGATCATGAAACAATGCAGAACAAACATTAATGGCCATAAGTTCGGTGATGATGAAAAGTAAATTTTTATAACCAACAATTTAAACTTACAACAAAACCATGCAAGACAACCACAATAACGGAGGTCTTCCGAAAGCCTATGGTGTCAACGAGGAATCCTGATCCAGTTCTAGAGGTAAACCTGCCCGCCCCTGACAGCGAGGCCCACAGTCCTGCTACACACCCGTGAGTCCCTGCACCATCTGGGAACCCTGCATCACTGTACAACATAACATCAAATAATCCATCAATAAAAGTTAAGTTAAACAGTTATAACATAGTAAGGCGACTCAATCTCAAATGATGATCTATCGTGTAGTAATATCGATTCCATTTTCTGATGTCTGCCATATTGATGGTTTTACGAGTTGTCAATATCCTGTGTTAACTCCTCATTCAGTCCCTACAAGCTCACAATATGCCCTATTTAAAAGTGTAATTTAGTTAGATGATATACGTCCTTTAAGTTTCTATACAGTATTACACTGGAAAATCCCAAAACCTGGTGCACAGGACTTACACTGTTTCCCGGATGGCATCCACAACACCCGCCACCTGCTGTCCACCAATCCCAATACCATTCAAGATCAGTGCCAGGACCACCACACCCAATGTTCTGTAAAGAGTTACAACTACAAACTGCACAATGTATCCCCCACAGATGCACAAACCCGGTACAGTACTGTTGGATCAACATTCGTTACCTTCAAGCTGACCACAAGCATGATATTATCTCCCATACCAATAGGAAATTTCAATTGTAATTTGGATACAAAAATGTTAAAAAGCGGACAAAACTACCATATTTTGACTAAAATAAGCCACACTTTTATTCCTAAAAAATTTGGCAAAAGTGGGGGTAAAACTTACTAACATTGAAATTTTAGTAATGCTTACATAAATACCCACAAATTTTACCAGAGTAATTCCTTGTGCGTTCTAGCATCACCTCCAAACAGACTCCACCACAATTACCTCACTCTTAAGCCAAAATTTAAGATGGGTACCACTATTACTATCATTACTGCAGGTCATCTACCCATGAATTTGTTTACAAGAATGAATTTCAGTGAACTGCAAGGTTGTCTGGGTGAATAATTCTTAAAACAGTCGGGCCGGAGGGTGAGCAAACTGTTCCCCCCTTACTTGACGGGGAGTCACTGTGCCAAACCTTGCCGACTTGCGAACATAAATGAGGAGCACCAGACCATAATCTGCTAACTGCCAAAATATGAAATGGAGTAAAATGCTCAGGGAGGAATGTGTGACATACAATAGTCTTTTCGGAGGACTCTCACCCACATGTACAGCCTCCCAATTGACTTCGACTTACTCAGGTGACAAGAGAGGTTGGGGAATACAATGCAATACTCAACATATTTCAGCAACACGTGGCTCTTAGCAGGTTATGGTCTGGAGTTCTCAAATGGTCAAACGAAAATTTCTAGGTAATATACAGTTTAGGTGATTTTAACGAGTCAGAACATTACAAGAGATACCCAGGTTAATACTACTAATATAGTAACCTATCAAATTTCAGTACTCATGTCTAACACTCACAACAGAGATGGGCTCAGGTATGATGAAAGGCCTCCCATCACGGCCCGAGTCTCCAAATCAACACAATTGAAGTACAGTAATCGGTGATAAATTTCAGCCTCTTATTTGGCGACTGGTTAGCCATAATTTTACATCAACATACAGAAGCACCTTCAAATGACATATCTATATACAGTGATATCCCCGTTAGCCGGAACAATTAGTGCAGAGCACTTCCGGGAATGAGCGATTTCCGGGTATCGAGACTATTCTCTCAAAGCCGGAAAAAATCCCTTATCCCCTGAATTTTCCGGGTAATGTTAAAATTTCCTCTGAAGTTCCATAAATTGTGTATTACATCAATTCTCAAACCCAGAAAGAAATCCCCCACCCCCAGAATTTTCCAGGTACAGTATATTCCCTGTGTGTGTTTGCCCTTAGGACAATTATTTAGTTTACCTGTACAGTATTGTATATATGTATGTGTGTGTGTGTGTGTGCACACACACACACACACTACAGGTAAAGAAAATTCCCTTCTATAGAATGAATGGCTCCCCGTCCCGGCCGCAAAAATGCCGGCAACTTCAAAACTACCAGGGTGTTATCCGCAAAATAAAAATCCACGAATTATCCGGGTGTGCTGTTCTGTATATATGTATCTAGTGATCCAAACAATTTTTAATGTGAATATGATTGTGATCCCCACCAACTTCAGGGTACGGCTGAAAATCGAAGGACAAGCTTTTTTGCATGAATTCTGTCAAAAACTCACCCTGCAGCTTATAATCTTTAAAATACAGTATCCAATTTTGTATGCTTATACTTGGGACTCTTTATTGGTACTTATAAGAAATAAACTTACCTGTTTATGGGCACACCTGGGAAGGGACCAAGCAGGAAGAAGGAAGTGAAGGCCAAGCACGAGGACAGCAAAATGTAGATCTTAACTTGACGGTTGCGGTCACAAACCCAACCCCAGAAAGGTGAGGCCAAGCTGTTGGCTCCGTCCTTTAGGCCAAATAATATACCCACATATATTGGGCCTAAACCATACTGTGGGAGAATTTATTATTGTGACTAGACAGACAAACATTTCCTGCACTTGACGGTGTTATACAACATGACGTATATAACTAACACCCGATCAAGAATTCTGACAAACATACGGGTTTATATGTATTCCTGTTAATTTCTGTTTTAACTATACATGATATACAGAAAACAGTATGTTATATTGTTTACACAATGCATCACACAATCAGAAGTACCAACTTACCAAATGAACATGGCCTCAATCAGTGATCGTTGCAAAAGCCGTCAGACCCAAGATGTAGAATTTTTTTGGTTAGACTGGACACTACACCCACGCTGAACCTGTCTACTGCCACAGTACTCATTGACACTCATTGCTTTTTTTTCCCCTAAGGATGTGGTCTGCCAGAGAATAGTGTAACCGCACCAAGTATGAGTTCACTCAAGACCAGACTTTACCAAAACTGGTGCAGGCTCAGATACATCTTGGAACCAGTGCATACCCAGATCCCAGACACCCACCGATAGAGCTTGCTGGGGGGTCCTTGGTACTCACAAGCTTCCCCCACTACAAGGTGGTTACCACTAGGGGGGGGGGGGAGGCATCAAAGACCACCTACAGACCATCTCCAATTTGCATAATTTTTGCTTTAAAAGCCACTCAATTTTCCTCAGGTTATACTACTTCACTATCAACAATTTCATGACCACAAATCCAAGAGAAGCCATCTGATGTTTACTCTTTACGGACTGTCAAGTGCAGTAGAACTAATAGTACTGATACGTGCATCTCCCTGTGTCCTACGTTCAACCACTGGATCAGATGTGAGAAATTCTGTAACTATCAAATGTTAGGCTGATCACCCTGTAGTTCTCTGCTGCACTATAGTGTGGTGACATTGGCTGGTTTCCAATCCCTAATCACTTTTCCTTGATCCAAAGATTTCATAAAGGAGTTTTATTGGAGTGCAAATCTTTGTTTGTCACCTTGGTCTGTACTCCATCCACTCCAGGGGCTATGAATTCTGTCAAGCTAACTATTTTTTTTTATCTATATTACTATCTCACAATTTTCTACCCAAGGCACGAATCCTCCTAGATACTGGCATGTTATCCATCATCTCTTAGGTAAACATTGATGCAAAGTAATCATTTAAGGCATCTTCTGTGGGTTCATCAAAAGGGTCAATAGTATCAGTTGTTTTCATTTTGTTCCTGGTATATGCATAAAACGACTCAATACTGTATTAAAATTTGGGTTCATATCTCCATGTGCTGTTTGGCTGATCTTATTTCCCGATTTACCACTTTTAAGCCTCTTTTTGTATACTAAATTGTCTATCATGTTTTTGGCTATGGTATTATGACAATGAAGGTGATCAACAACAAACTGACCACCCAAACAGAGGAAAAGATAAATTTGATTAAGCTAACTACAAGTATGGTGAACTAACCTTCCTGAGGACCTGGGGCTCTAGGGTGATGGAGAGAAAGCCATTGCTCATAGTGGAGAAGATGAAGGTAATAAAGGAGACCCAGATGCCTCTAATAGTAAATATCTTCCAGATCTTCACCTCCTCACACTCTCCTGATTCTGTATCACCTGGAAGGCAACAATTAACAACCTGATTAAGGATTGAAGTTAAGTGATACAATTCTTCTCGTTCATTTGTCTCCATCTCATATTAAACGTTATCAGTGAAGATGTTACAACCTAATAACCATTTTATAACAAAAGGCCAACCTCTAAAAAAACAAATTCCAGGGATGAGATTTCCTGGTAATGAAAACTCATCTCTCAAACCCGGAAAAATCACACCTCCCCAGAATTTTTCCAGGAACTGAGAAAAGTTTATTGGAATTTTCCAGAATTACTGTACTCCCTATTTCACCCTACTGATTTGTATTGGTAAGTTTGAGTATTTAAATGCCAATGGTGTACAAACAAATGAGTAAAGCAAGCCCTAAGAATATCTTGAAACGGTACGAAGAAGGTCTTAACAAAAGGAAACACCTCTACCACATACTAACTCAGGAATTCTGGGAGAAAACAGCAAGAAAAGATGGTCATAGACATCTGGATACCTCCCATGACGATAAAGGGCAGCTTGAAGCCTCCCACCTCCAACAGGACTCCTCCTAATATTGGCCCAAACATCTGAGCCACATTCATTGTCATCCTTGTCCAAGCCTAAAAAAAAGTGATCAAGTTAGCGTAAATTCATTCATCATTCATTCTACAGTGAAGCCACCCTACAGAAATGCAAAACCAAAATATATTTCACTCCCTATTACTTGAGAAACTATAGCACTTTGGTTAATCATATGGTTTTAACATAATTAAAGTAATCAGATTTAACTAGTATCTGCATTAACTGTATGCCAATCTCCCCTCCTACTATTAAAACACTTACAAAGACTTTGGCCATAGAATTAGGAAACTCTACACCAATATAAGCAAAGCTGGCAGTGCTGATCCCTGCATTTGCCGTGGCTTGCGTCATCCGAATCAGTATAGCTGTGATCACAAATACCGGGCCAGGAGGAAAGAATTCGAGGAACCTGAAATCATATTTATCTTGAACAGGGTTTAGGCACACTACCTGAACAAAAAAAATCGGAACATTCACACCTCCGGTAAGTCTGATATTTAGAATTCCATATTTCAAGCAGAAAAAACAAATATTTGTAAAGTGAACACATGAACAAGTTCCCCATTTGGTGTTGTACTGAGGACATTATACTGTACATATCTATCTATATATCTCGATTCATATGATTTATAGATGGTAAACATTATTTCTCGAGTCACCCTTAGAAAGGTACATTCTTGTAACTTGTATGTAATTTACGAATTACAACTGAATCCGTATGTGTAGCGTTAAGACAGTACGGTATATATACCTAATGTTAGCCGAGATCTTCAAGACCATTAGAGTAATGTTAACGTTCAATCACAAGTAATTTTAGTGAAAATTTTGATATAATTTAGTCATTGATGAACTAGTCAGAAGTACCTTCATGTGTCTAGTGGAACCATCAGTTGTAAATTTGTCATTAGAGATTGGATTTACTTAACTTACAAATATCTTAAATCTCGTAGATGCTTTGAAGTACATGTGAAATGATAAAATTAACCAGCTCGTTGAAGAAGACAGTTTCCAATTTATTTCTTTTATGACTGCTTCACTGAACCATTGAAAGCTCAGATACTGATTAGATTATAAGATTAGTATTAAGACAAATATAAACCCTCAGATATTCTACGTGCAATAAAACAGACTACTGCAGCAACAGGCTCACCACACTGTTTCCTGTTGCCCACACAGGTAAAACTTTGTCCATACTGGTCAATTGTGTTGTTGAATGAGTATTTTGTGCATTGTTAAGCAAGTAGTTCTGCCAAGTTATACTGTAGTCAAGAATTGTCATGTTATAAGCCCCAATACTATACCCTGTCACCGACCTGTTGGGATATGTTAATATTTGGCATGTGTGTATTTTCCGTTGCTCACAGACAGATGGGGAAGGTCACCGTTGCCTTAAGAGGTAGCTGGACCTAGAGACATGTGGTCGTTAAGTAGCGCCGTGCTCCAGTGTAGGTATGAGGTATTATTGATGGGTTTTATGTAAAGTAGCAGTATCAGGTAGGGTACTAAATATCGTGTACATTAATTCAGCGGTTGTCTGCACTGTGTATGAGTGCTAAGTAAGTGAATCTAAGCTGTGTCATAATGGCCAGGGTCTTGTATTGAAGCGTTACCACTAAGATAGATTAGTAGAGAAATTGTCTCTACTGGGTATCAACTCAGGCTTTGTCCTAACGTCCAAAGCTAACTACTAATTCCTGACAAGTACACAACAAAAAATGCAATCTTACCCTGATAAGACGCAGCAGCCACCACTACAAAAAAGCCCAGCAGTCAAGGCAAATCTCACCCCAATGGTCTTGATCTGTGGACATTTGTAAAACTTCAGTGATTTGATGTCTTTTATTTTCCATTAAACATTATATAAAATCTACAATTTTGTTTTAAAAGTTTAAATTAATTTCTCCTCTGGGACGGAGTGTCGATGGGTTGAACTCCCCTTTTTCCCTAAATCACATCAATTAAGTGTCAACACGTACCAAGGTCAACTAGCACCCTACCAACTCCTACACATTCCTGGCTCGTGGTATAACACAAGGGCTGCTTGTTATCAGTGTACCAGGATTAGTGATTTGCAGTATGTCAGGTGCAATAAATGAGGCATTACTTAAGCAGGGACAGAAGCATCAAATGTGCGAATTTGAGACTTTTTTTTTCATTTTTCATTTCAATTATCCGTCTATTGGTGTGTCTTCCACCCTTACTCAAAACCTGTGAGAGACAGGCTTGAAAAGTAATTTCCCAGAGTCCTCACACGGCTGCAAATCTCCCCAAATTGCTGATACTGAATTATCAAAACTTTAGATTGTCACTTGCACCCCCTGCTTTAGACATGCTTCAAATGTTAACCTACGGCAATATAACAAAGATCAAGCACTAAAATTCAACTATGCATCACAGTAGGAAAACACTATGCAATAAATAAAAGCAAAAATATTTTAGTGGGATGACCTGAAGTGAGGACTCGAGACGGACCCCTCCAGTGTTGCTCTCAAACAAATCTAATTGAAGTTCTCTGACATTCCAGGTTAGACATGATTACTTGTCAAGCTCGGTCTTTAGTGATTTTTTCTTCATATTTATACACTTGTAGCAACTGTTTTCAATGAACCTGCATAAAGCAAGGAACAATAAATGCAGAGCCAACTAACTGCAGTATAATATCAAGTGGTAAATATATTTAGATTTTCTCCAAGTACAGTACATTACTATGTATAAGTAAACTTACTGACCTTCTTGCCAATGATGGGGGTGACGAGGAAAGCTGTTAAGCAATTAGTGCCGATGATTAGGCCAAAAATGGTAGAGGAGCAGCCCTTCTCTTGTGCCTGTCATGAATAAAACACAATTATGCAGAGTACATTCCACAAAATTAACAACCATCATTTATACAAGTGCCAACCAAGTTGTTTCATGAGGCTTCATTCCAATAACAACAATATTAAAAAAAATTTAATAAAAATGTGCATCCAACCATAAATTAGATAAAGAACCGAGATGCCACGTACTGTACTGTACTGTATTGTATTGTATTTGAACTGTGTTGTAAAAGCAATCCTGTGATCCATTTAACCTATTAAGCATCACTGCCATTTTAAAACTGCAGAATGGCATCGTCACTGCAACGTCACCGCCGTTTATAAATGACTTGCCTGAGAGGCCCACCAGCCAGGTATATTAATGAAGAATGTTCAAATGAACCTGTATAAGAAATATTTATAAAAACATTAAATCCCCAGTAAGAGAGACTTTCTATTCTGTGGCCGGTACAGTTTTTATCTCTTTAGAATTACCTGCAACTACAGTGATCTAAACATAATGGAACCAAGCCCACCCAGCTGGATATTTTGGAGGGGAGGGGGGGCCACTGTAATCCATCATCCCCCCCCCCAGCATTTTTTTTAAATCTGACCAATATCATGGCCATTTTGAGGCCATGTAACCTTGATATTAGGAGATGTTCTAAGGTAAATAGTACTGTAATAACTTTTTACTACTGGTATACAAAGATGCCCGAATACACTATTGCATTAAAGAAAAAGTATTTAACTTTTCTGATGAAAGAGGGGTCTGGGCACCAAGCCTCCCCTCCCCCCCCCCCGATCTTCTCCCGAATTCTCTCCGAATATTGTAGTTTAGCATTAAAAAACTGGGCCAAACTTACAATTCTGGGGAAGTATGGCGGGAAGAGGCAGATGGCGAAGGAAGAGGTGAGGGTCCCCAAACACAGTACCATGAGAAGCAGCAACTGCCGTTTTGTTAAACTTGTTTGTAATTTAATTTTCTTTCCATCATCCTTTGATTCCTTCTTTCTCCACAAAGATTTTGGCATGTTGAACTTCCTCCAAGCCCGCAGAAAGATGTCCCTGCCAGGCCACCGCCACCGCCCCTTTTCTAATGACTCGGTGGTAGCATTATAAAGTGGACAGCAGTCACTTTCATCTTCACCTGCACAGGTTTTGAAATATTAAAACAAAACTTATTTGTAAATAAATATTAACCTAGTCATCTCATTACTTACCTCATACTTTACAACAGTGGTGTCTTAGCTAACAACCACTCACAGACCGTAGTGCGCACATCATTTATCAATTTATAGAAGTTGGAACTAACTTGGAATTTAAATTACTCATTGAACAATATATCTTGAAATAGGTCAAGGTAAAACCTTTGATAAAATTTTCAAAGCAACTGACCATCAATCCTGCAACCCTTAATAAAAGAGGTATCTACCTACTAACCTTACATTACGTTGTCCCAGGTCATAGAACCCACTAATAAAAGTCAAGCCAACACCAAGGTATCCCTCAACAAAACTGGGCATCAGGTCCTGTCACACCTGGGTTATCTGAGTGACTCCCTTGAGAACAACCACCCACTGACCACAGCATGGTTATATGAAGACACATCTTTGGCTCCTATTAAAAGCACTAGACTTAGATTAACAATTATGACTCGAATCAGAGCTTCTTATGACCCACAGTGATGGCCTCGATCAATCAATCAGTACAGTTCCCAGTTCACAGGTTGTCAACCACAGTGCACTCCAAATGTTTTGGGGCCGTTTTTACAAATCCAACAAAATTTTTTTTTTTTTTTTAACTCTGAGGACCCAGTCTAATTTCGTTCATCCATCCCAGTCTCTGTCTTCCCCTGGCCCTGAACAACAAAACTAAACCATACAGAAGATGTACAGACACAGTATGGGTTTAGTGGAAAACATGCCTAACATTTATAAGTCGACCTTCTGCCATATTACATACCTTTGACATGATCAGTGTTTACATAACTGGTGTCTAAGTCAGGATAAATAGGTTCGTAGTTGGTGGGTTTGTGGGCATGAGTGAGAGGTGGGCTGGCACTGAAGGAGGGAGAGTCCGGGTCATCGTGGAGCACAGCGGGAGTAGCAGAGTAATGTTCTTTGTAGCTGGGTAACGGTGATGGAGATATTTGTAACGATGAAGATGAACCTGTACATTGACGCCCATTCATCACACACCGGGCTACGGCCGATACCTCACCTGACGGCAAAAAAACAACAAAAATACCATACTTAAGCACAAGGATCTGAGTTATCCAGCCACTAAGCATAAAGTATCTATAGTGAAGAAACTTACAAAATATATTCACTTCCAGTAAAAAAATATATATATACATAATCTCAAACAACTAAATATTAAAGAGATCTCCCCAAAACAAGACCTAACTACTTACGTGTATGACCCGTATTGAACTAACAAATGATTACGATGGAAACAGCGCCACGCCTTACTGGAAACTACACAAACCATCAACTGTGCAGTACTGTAGGAACAAATCTGTTCCTGTGCGACACTTCCTGGGTCATAATATTGGAGGAGGAGACTTTTTTTCTATTTCGTTAATTTTTCATAAATGTTGGTTTGATAAAAACGTTTTCCTGTATTTTTTCCCCTAACTACAATCACGAAGACTGAAAACTACGTAAAATCAATTCAATTGTGTAGCTGTTATCCATTTCCACCTGGTATATATGGGGTTCAAAATGCTCAGAATAGGGAGATCTAAATGTTTCAGTAGTTCATAACTTTTGGCTGCACTATGTCCTAAAGTAAAATAATACCGTATTTTGTTCAGATCTGACCTTCGTTTCCATGGGTAATGCATCTTTTTTTTAAGATGCGTGTCATCCTTGAACAAAAACGGGTATTTTCCATCAAAAACGAAGGCGAGATCTGAACAAAATACATCAGAAACCAAGCATCTAGACCCTAACTTGAACTAAATTAGCCTACCTTAACCTAACCTAACCTAACCCCTGTAAGGCGTCCTAACCCCTGCAGGTTCCAGACAGCTTGCAGTGGGGCAAGAAATGGCGGGTGAAGATTTATTGATCTACTTTCATAGGCGTTCCCCACTTTTGTGATTTTTCCGAGAGAAATACGTTTCCAAGAGTCTTCAAAGGTTGAGGAATGTACAGTATATAAGAGATTAAAATTGCCTAAAAGTAAGTGCTTCTATTGATTTGAAGATGTGCTAAACCAAACAACCAGAAATTGTAGCAATTGGAAAGTAAACGAGGTAAGAAAGCTTTTATATTCTATGGATAAATTTCGTCAGATTACTACTAAGGCCATAACACTTCTCAAAAATTACCAAATATTTCAATAACTTTTCATAAAATTGCAGTTTCCGTACCAATTGGTTTTGACCAGAAATCCAGGTTTTTCCCGTGGTTTTGGACATACCACCATCCATACAACCTGACCAAACCGACCAAAGAACCTACCTAACCTTACCTAACTTCCTAGCCGTCTCCCCGCTATATTAAACAAAGTATTTATTTTGATATCTGGTACCAATGAAAGCAACTTTATCGAAACATCGTGGTATAATTTCACGTTTTCTTTTATTTGTGGACGTGAGAGAACAGACGACACGCGGTAACTGCAGATTTACGTCAATTTCTTAATTTCTTGCGTGAATTTACTTTCTTGGTTAATATCCATTTGCGACTGAAGTTTTATGAGAAAAGTTATTCCTATTGACAATACATAACGAATGGTAAATGCAAAATTGTTCTAACACTAATACACTGTAATACCACACAATCTTTGGGGAACCCTGGGAATTCGGGTTTTTTGGGAGAGCAAAAACGGAAGCTAATAGGAACCCAACCCAAACCTAAGGGTAAAATTGCAGTTTCACTACCAATTAGTTTTTGACCTTCATTTCCGTCGAAAGCGTCGTTTTTGAGCTATCACCCACCCCCCCCCCCCAAATTGCTTTTATCCAATTAGGAGTACAACTGCAATAATACCCAAATATCCGGTGTCTAAGCAGTTATTATGGGGAGACCATGTCATCAGCACTTGTCAGTTTTGTCGTTTCAACATACACTCCTGATGCACTATACAAACTTAACGGTTATAATTACCTTCAGATACTGTGGGAGCCAGGATGCCTATGTGGACGGCCTAGGCCCAACAAATTAGAAAAATCAAGACGTCCGTGTGTGGCACGTATGAAAGATCAAGACGTCCGTGTGTGGCTCGTATGAAAGATCAAGACGTCCGTGTGTGGCTCGTATGAAAGATCAAGACGTCCGTGTGTGGCTCGTATGAAAGATCAAGACGTCCGTGTGTGGCTCGTATGAAAGATCAAGACGTCCGTGTGTGGCTCGTATGGAAGATCAAGACGTCCGTGTGTGTGGCTCGTATGGAAGATCAAGACGTCCGTGTGTGTGGCTCGTATGGCTCCCGGCGGCCTTTTCCTCCTGCCACTACAACTGTTACGATCTCCCTGTAATTTATGAACGTTTCCTTATAACTCCGATCCTAACCACTTATATTGTGTCATGATTAAATAAACAAGTCAAAATACACACAGGAGACAGTAACACACACACACACCACCCCTCTCCTTGACGATCCACGGGTTGACTACTGGGCCGGTATGGTCAGAGTCTCAGCCAAATTCGCCAAAAGTGCAGTTACAAAATGGAACTTGCCGGATACCACATGGCAATCAACTATAATCTGTAATAACTAATATTCCACACGATTTAAATTTATCAAACTGATTAATTTGAGTTTGTATGATAGATTGTTATAGATTTCTTTGACTGTGTCCGAATTTAATTTTATAATGTGGTATTTACTTGGTAACCGTCGGACAACTTGTTAGGTGTGGGTACATACGAATTTCACCTCCCTCGCCTCTCTCTCTCCTCGTAATTCTACCAGCTGTAATGTTTTCAGTATTAATAGATATGAGAAAACTGCCTGTGATTTTCACGGATTATTCACAGTAACTCATAAAGCAATTTAATTTTCTCATAAACTTTAAAACGGTTTCTCTTTCTCAGCGGGTCACGGGGTCGAGCGAAAGTAGACAACTTTCAGACATTTTTGGCCGTGTTTAGTCATCTTAAATTCACCTACTTTTTGCGTGATATATTTTTATTTGCAGCTTAACGGGGTTATGACGTGTCTTTAGAGAGATAAAATAACGACGGGTGTCAGGAACTGAGATTGTATCCGCGCTGAAAATGTTCTGGCATGCGAGTTCAATCAAAAGCTAACCTAATCTAACTTAATCTGACCTAACCTAATCTCTTATTCTGGAAGGGGGATAATCTCTGCGCGCCACACCTGATCATGCACCAACTATTAACTTGAGGCTATACTCGGCCCTGCGATCTACTAGAAATTGGTGAGAGATCGACCGGAAGATCGTGATCAACGTTTTGGCCACCCTGTGAGATGTGTTGTTAACTTGACTCACCTGTTCGGATAATTTGCGACATAATGTGTCCGTTTCGGCCTCAGTGTGGGCTGGTCCTGGGGGTGCAGCCACACTAACGGTAACATGTGTTGTCGACCGTATTAACAACCAGTCTTTTTTTACTTTTTTACTTTTACTTTTATCCTCTTCACCACTGATCTGCTGCTCGTTAGCCGCTTGGGCGATCGGTCACGTCTCTGTTACGCACCGTTGGCAAGTACGGGGCATGCACCGGCTCCTGACTGTATCTAACCTGCTCCAGTGCTGGTCAAGTCTGGTCTTGAAAGAGCTCACACTCGGTGCCATCACAACACAGGTCGACGCAAATGTTGGCAACAGTAGCGTTAGGAACATTTCGAGGAATAGAGATACGTTTCCCGCATATGTTGGTAACATTGATAGCCAATAAGTTGATAGCATGCTGGTGGGACTGTTTACTTCACATTAGTTTCCAACAATACTCTGTACATCCATGTCCCGTTGAGTGTTTGCCAACAGTACGTAAAGGAGAACTAACCGATCGGCGACCAGCCAACCGAGCCACACTAGATGACACCCTCCTCACGTGTGTCAGCGCCAAAGTTGAACTCGAACCCGTGACATACTGGTCAGAGTCATGAGTGTTAACACATGCGCGACCAGGTATACAGTATAATGTAAACTGATATTTTATTTTCTCCCTCATGCTTGTCATTTGTATTGAGGATGTCATTATAGCGAGACATTATTAAACATGAGAAACAACAAAGTTTTATCAGGAAGGAAATATACCCATTAACTTGTTTAAGAATCAGCTAAATAAACTTAATAAGTACAGTATGCTAAGACTTTTGAGCTCGGAGGTAAGATTATTAACGTATCATTAAAAAAAAAGCCTTTCAAATTTAATAAGTTATTTAGTGACTTTAAATAATAAAAACATTAATTATGATGACATTTTTACATGCATAGGATTCTTTTTTTCCAGTAAAAGTTAACATTGATTGAGCATGTACTGTATCATATGCAACGCAGATATACAATTCAACACTGCACGACCATATATACTGGTACATATATAGAAATACAGGTATACATTTCATTAAGTATGTTTACAATACAGGTATATAATTTACTGTACTTTATTTTTTTCTATCTCTGACGCCTTTGTTTTCTTCTCTTCATTTTTTTTTATAATTCTTCTTTTAACTTAATTTACACCACACACACACACACTAGGCTTTAGCAACACGATCGGCAGTAATAAAGATGTTCATGTTGTACTTCAGGAAAATTGGCTTCAGATCTCGAGCTTCAGTGAGAGCCTTTACCAGGTCCATGTCATCTTGAGTAGCGATTGGCGTCACCAGCACCAGCAGCTGTGGTAGAGAGTAGAAAGAGGATCTAAGTGTGGTAATAAGGAGAGGAAGTGACTTATTGTGGTAGTGAGAATTGTGGATGATTTTTACTGTGGTAGGAAAGATAGTGAGGGAATCTTACTGTGGTAGGGAGGAGAATGATTGACTCTCATTCTAATAATACCTACAAATGTTAAGATTCCCAATATTTTTTTTAAATCCTTAACAATCCTGACCGAATCCTACTTAGTACAGTATCGAGAACATTAGGCCTCTTCTATAATCCTATCCCTCACAGCAACAGGATTCTCCCAACATCCAATCGCCATCCCCCAAAGAAGCTGACAGAATTCTACTTACATTGATTTTAATGGCTTTTGGGATTGCATCAAGGATCTCAAGCTCCCCCCCGTGTGTGGAGATGGCCAGGAGGTCGATGGTAGTCGTTTTGAGGGCAGCTATCGTCAGCGCCCCGACATTGAAACACTGTACGGGCGTCGTCCTTCCGAGGCCACTGTCCTGCAGGAAGGGGATTATGGGGGGTGAGTTTAGTGTCATGGGAGACGATATAGTGTTAAACCATACAGTGCTAATTACGTTTGGCTCACACACACACACACACACACACACACACACACACACACACACACACACACACACACACACTCTCTTACCTCTTGAGAGACATACTTTACGAGGCGGTTGCTGCTCTTCTGTAGTCTGTACAACAGGTATGGTAGGTTGACCGGGGTGTTACGGATCCACAGGTCATTCTGTTGGGGAAAGGATCACTGGTGTCATAAAGGCTTCATAATATGGATCCAAGAGGTGATTCTACAGGGTCAAGGATCCAGTTAATGTATCTAATGAATGGAATTGGAGTTGATCCACACAAACAATGGATTAATTACTACAGTTTGGATCCATAACTGGTCCCCTTTGTAGCTATGAAGGATTAATTATATACTGGACAAAGTGCAAATCCTTAATCCACCACTCACCGTGTAAACCTAACTTAACCTAACCAATCAACAGTAATTTAACCTAACCTAACCCTTAACCGTGTAAACCTAATCTTAATATAGAAATTTGACCAATGGGATTCTATCTGGAAACATTTAGTAACTCACACTACTGTATAACTTAACCGAATCAATCAACCTAACCAAACCTAACCTAACCAAAGACTCCCAATGGTGATATAATTTTTTTCCCCGTGGGATTTTGTCCAGTGAGATCTGTAAACACGAAGAAAGAGAGGACTTACCTTTACATGGCCTGGGTATATAGAGGCACAAGCATTGACAGTGTAAGCAGATCTCTTCTTTGCTCTCAGCTCCTGATACTCGCCAGGGTTAGGTTCGATCAGGAGCCCCTTGAATCCCAGCTTCTGCTCCGCGTACAAGCTAACCGACTTGAACTCTCCGTCGCTAGCACCGATTTCCACAAAGGTTCCTCGTTTCTATGTTGGGGGAGAGAGAGAGAGAGAGTGAGAGAAGGAGTTAAGAGAGAGTTAGGGGATGATTATAGAGATATACACACACACACACAAAGTTGGCAGTATGGGGTAAGATTTCTCTACGTAGGTTCCTGGGGTCTCTTGTGTTTGGGAGATGGAGAGATGGAGAATCTACTGGTGATCAAGAGAGAGAGAGAGAGAGAGAGAGAGAGAGAGAGAGAGAGATTACTGTAAATATTTTCCCCCGATTTTGGTGAAGTTTAATGATTTGTAATAGTTCATTTAAGTGTTCTTTAGGTTGTGAGAGTAGCCAACGGTGTCGTGGGTCAATGAGACAAGCGAGTACCTCTTATCGCATGTCCTGGGTTCAATCCCCAACCTAGGAGAGATATGAGAAGGGTGTTGGTGTTATCCATTGCAAGTTTTCTCCGGTTCCTCCTGTACTGAACGACTATAGTAAACTAATAACTAAACATTAATACTCACCCCGTACGGCTTGAGGTAATCATTGATTAAGTTGTAGGCCTCACCCCAGTTCCCCATGGAAGCCCAGGGTGGATTCTCGAGGGGGAAGTCAGACTTGTATGACCCCCGGGGCGCAGGTGGGTCTATCCAGTATTTCCGGATGTGTAAAATGATGTCTTTGTCCAGGGGCAAGAGCGGGCCTGTGAGTGCCTTCTTTAGACATTCTTAGGACAGAGATAAACCATTTTTATTATCGAAACATTTGTAGCATAGAAAGATATACAAGTAAAACTAATTATAGAACTCTAAGTTTACTCACTCCAGAGCCATATTGTCAAAGTTAGGGAGTTTATTTTGGGCTTTTGGCAATTTGTTCAGCTGTTAATGACTGTCGTGTGTAGTCCCCCTTTTAAGCCTGCCACTCATGCTCAGGCAATTTTTTCAGACAAATCTAATCGCGTGTAGGAGAGGTCTGTGAACTGTGTAGACAATATGGATGATGTGTAAGCCGGTTCAGACCAGTTGGTCAGTTTTCAGCAGTAACAGTAGCACCAGAATCATGAGACAATTATTGATTCTTATAATTATTCCAAATAATTCATAAGGAAGTTAATTATGATCTACAGCACAATGGACGATCGTGTAAAAATAATGAAATAATACAATGACGTTTCATTTTTAAAACTTTAATAACCATTACTATGTTTCTACGATATCTATAACGCTACTCAAAAAGGTAAAAATTAAAGATTCACAAGGGTTTTTATTTAAATAACTAATTATGTTTCTTAATATAACCTAATAAGTCTTAAGTTTATTAGTGACTAGTAATATAACTTATACTGATGAATAAAACAATCTACACCCCCCCCCCCCTCTCTCACCTTCCTGGCAGTAGTAGTGTAGACCAGCGCCAGCGTGAAGAGCCATGTTGACGAAGGCACAGGAAGAGATCATCCCCAACACCGCAAACATCAGGTACTTCCTCACAAAACACGTCACCATCTGCTCCAGTTTGTTCCACGTCCGCATAACCTATGTCAACAAGCTTATTTAGGATTAAACAGCTTAATCTGAACTTAACCTTAAACTAAACTAAAATAATACCTGTACTTTACTTTTAAACTATCTTTGCTAGCGTATATAAAATTCTAAACTTTAGATTATCATTTCTTGCGCAATATAAAAACTTTTGGAAGACATGAATCGATCATATACTTAAGATATCAGCCAGTGTGTTGTCTTTCGAGCAGGAGTGAAAATTTGTAATCACCTTTGATAAAATGTACACCTTGAACACGCCCCTGAATAGTGTGTGAAAATGGAGGAGTATAGGAGGTAGAAAGCGGTGCGTGTGTGTGTGTGTTGGGGCGGTGTGGTGCTGATCAAGGGGGCAGGGTAGAGGAACGAACAAGGAAGATCTCACCGGGAAAATATTTTGAAATAATACATTATCAACGTGGCAGATACAGCTGATGATATGAGTGTGGAGGATAAGGGGAACTCAATGAAACACGTATAAGCTGATAAAATACACAACTAAATAAAAAATACATCTATCTACCTACGAGTATATCTATATAACACCTATCTAGTATATAAATTACAACAATTACATTATAACTAGGCTGGGATGTAGGTTAGGTTAGGCAAATTTAACCCCAGAAATATACGCTTGCCTAAAACAGTAAGGTATCCAAACAATCTGAGAATAACAGCATGATAATTATTTAAACAGAGAATATACTAAATGCTGTAGTGGTAATTTATACGTTTGTCAGCGGCTACAATGCCCCAAAACCAAACAAAATACATCCATAACACCTGGATTTACGATATTTAATACAAACATCACAATCACTGACATAATGAACAAATAATTTACTTTATAATGAAGATATTCCAATTAAAATAAATTACGGTATGTATTTATATATAGAAAAACAGATAGCGATTCAATTCTACTCACCGATTTGATCATGTTGATGAAGAATAATATAGGTGGCAAGAGAAATCAAGATAGAAAAACGAAATCCCTGTCAATAGGTTACCGTAACCCAACCGACCGCCTCCCACAATATCACGATAGCTACTCATACGTGGACTGCTTGTGTCCTGCCCGCTAGCCGCCACCTCACCGCCAGACGCTTGACACCCACCTCCGTAATTTGACTGCAAATATTTACCCGGGCATGGTGTTATATTATAGATAAGAGTGAGGCACTGTAATTTATAGGGTTAGATACATTGATTTCTTTATTTCATGCAACGGTTTAGTTGAGGTAACGATTATGTTACGAGGAAATGTAGGAAGAAAAACGGTTTACTTGTAGACAGGATAAAGCATTGACCTCCAGCCACAGTTAACCTGCAAGATTATATATATGTGTGGGGGAAATATTTAAGTGCCTAACCTACATGAGGTCAGTGTGACGCTGTAAATATTTGAAGCTGCACATAGCCACAGATATGGGTATTTCCTTTTATGTTGAACACTAATGTATGCCATGTGGGTCCTCTGCACCCCTAAATTTTTAAATTCTTTCTCGGTTAAAAAGCAGTTAAACCTGTTTGTTGCCAATGCTTTTCAGAGACACGGTCAAGCACAGCACACCTGGCGGACAATGATAGGGTAGTTAACACACACGGCTTTGATACACACGATGGATGTATGATAATGGATGGATTATGGCTGTTTTCTAAACCACTTTTACCTCAGTATTATGTCAGTGTTGGTACTATATATATTAACTTTATCCTCTTCACCACTCGGCGGTTCTCTAGTTCAGCACTGTTGGCAAGTATTGGGCTTTCACTGGCTCCAGAAAGTATTCTACCTGAACATTTATACTGTTAGTCAAATCTGGTCTTAAGCATACCTCTGAGACCTTGTAGTTTATTTGCATGATTCACCTACTCATGAATGATCCGAGAACTTCAATTCGTTGCTCTTGGTATGACCTATATAAGGTGTGTTCTCAAGCATTTCGTAACACTGAATCCCATCAGCCAATCCTTTGCCCACTCTCAAAACCGATAGAGATCATCCAATAACGTTCACACCCCATTTGGTTCTTCATTTCCCTGAGAAAATTAGCATCGTCCACAAGCCTTTGCATGGAGGAGTGAATAACATGTCATACCATTTCTGAAACAAACACCATCGGTCCCCGGACATTGCCCAGCGATACGCCACTTGTCACAGAAATATAGAACACACAGCGTACCGCTTCATAGGATAATAAAATATCATTATTATATTGACAATAATACATTAAATTATAAGCATTTAACACACACACGAACACACACACACACAGGATGAGTATGGGATGCACAATAACTAGCTGCTGTCTACGGCAAAAATTTAATTCACTTACATATTGGAAAGACATTATTCTTACGGCTATTTTTCTCTAGTATACAGAAGGAAGAGGAAAAGAAGAAGAGAGATGGAGTAGAAAAAAACGACGAGGAAGTAGAAAAGGATAATAAAAACAATACGGGTCATATAATAAGAGATGATGATGACTAAGAACACGAACAACAAGTCAAAGAAGAGGAAAAAGAAAACAAAGGTAGAAAATAGAGAAGCGAAAAGAAAACAAAAATAGACCAATTTTACACCATCTGTAAAAAAAATCCTACCACACTTATAGACCCGAAAGAACATCTCTCTCTCTCTCTCTCTCCTACACGATTTTCACTTCATTTTCAGGAATAAGTATATGTATGTTGTTCTTGTTGAACGCTGTTATCAGGCCTCTCGACTTAGCAGCAGCATCCAGCTCATCATATTCCTGCTTGGTAGCTAACGGCACCACCACCACGATCATCTACGGGAAGACGGGGAGAATCACGTGATGATTAAGAACCTCCAATTATATTTCACGTGATGATTAAACAGCCCTAACGCTAACCTAACCTAACCAAAACACAACATAACCTAATCTAACCAAAACAACCTAACCTAATCTAACATAACCAAAACATACATAACCTAACCTAATCCAACTTAACCAAACCTGATCTAATTACACCTCACATAACTCCTGCACGTCACCTTACGCCCTACCAGTCACCTTACACCCTGACACACCCTACACCCTGACACTCGCCCTACACCCTGACCCTACACCCACTAACCCTAAACCCTGACCCTACACCCTGACCCTACACCCTACCACTCACCCTACATACTGACCCTACACCCTGACACTCACCCTACACCCTGACCCTACACCCCGACACTCACTCTGAACATAATCGTGGGGCCAAGAGCGCTGAGTATATCCATCTCCCCGCCGTGGGTCGAGATGACAAGGAAATCAACTTTGGAAGTGTTTAGAGCAGCACGAGCTATTGCCCCGGCGCTGAAGCATTGCACCTCTACTAAGTCCCCCAGCTCACGATCCTGTAGGAGAGGTTACTGGGGTTAGGTTAGGGGGGAGGGAGGGAGGGAGAAAAATAAGAGAGAAGACAAGTAGTAACCTGAGAAAGAGAGAGGGAGAGAGAGAGAGGGTCACTAAAGGTCAGAACACAACACTGGATGGTTATAATATACTCTATTGCCATATATATATTAGTGTACGTTAGTGCTATGTCGGCAAAGTGATATTGTATCAAGTAAACACATATATTGACCTATACAGACAGAAGCATACATACACAATAAATAAACATTCACAAACATTCACACACATATACACACACACCTACGAGTATAATACACACAAGCAAAGACAGAGATACAAAAAATAATATCTCCTACAATCCCTCCCCACCTCCCTCACTGCTGGCTCCTCTCCCCTCTCCCTCACTGCTGGCTCCTCTCCCCTCTCTCAGTCCCTCTTAACCCCCATTCATCCTTCTTTCCCTCTCTCCTCTTCCCCTTACTCCTCACCTTTCATTCTCTTCCTTACCTCATCACCCTTCCTCCTCAACCTTCTCCACTCACTCTCCTCACCACTAGCACCTCCTTCATCACCCCCCCGACAGCCATGACCTCTCCTTACCTCCTTGGACACATACTGAAGGAGTCTGTTGCTGCCTTCCTGTATACGATGAAGAAGAGGCGGCAAGTTACCCGGAGTATGTCGCAACCACAGTGTGTTCTGAGGGAAGGGGAGTTGTTCTGTGGTTACAACTCTATCTTACGTTTAATTACCCCCCAAAAAATAAGTTATAACTCTCAAAATATGGTTTCAGGATTACTATAAGGATAATAAATTGGAAAAACCACATTATGACAATAGATTTACAAAAAATTACCAAGGTTTCAAAACTTACACGCTAGGATAACATTCTGCACACTAAAAGTTTCCAAATTATCAAATGAACTTCAAAATTCACACATTAAGGCTTAAAAATTTATACAATTGATTTCAAAATACTTATACTAGGCTAGATAAGATACTGTACTAAGAATCAGCTTTAAAAACTCTATACATTAGGCAAAGACGATCATTTACTCACCTACCCTAAGCCACCCGACCCCATACTTACCTTCCTGTGGCCTCCGTCAGGGGTGGCGCAGGCGTTGATGGAGTAGGCGGACCTGCCCCCAGCCCTGATCTTCTGGTAATGATAAGGGTTTGGCTCCACCAGTACCCCACGGAACCCCAAGCGCTCCCCGACGAATAGCGACAGCGAGGCGAATTCTCCGTCCTGGGCTCCGATTTCCATATAGGTGCCTGGATTCTTTTGTAAGGGGGGGGCAAGGGAAGAGAGTTAGTTATCTGAAAAAATTAACTGGTTTCGAGGGTTTCTGGTTTCTTTTTGGAGGTTTTCTTGGTTTCTTTTTGGAGGTTTTCTAACTTCCTATGAAAGTTTTCTAGTTTCTTTGAAGGGACCAATTAGCGCCTGAAAAATTAGGTATTCAAAACAACCCGAAAATAATGATAATGGGTGGATGACCTGAAGATTAGAACCCCCACCAGTTTATTTCACATATTGATCAAATACCCAAACGCTACCTGGGGGTGTTAAGTATTGATAGGTTAAGTTGGGTTAGGTAATGGTAGGTCAAATTAAGTTGGGTTAGGGTTGAGTAATATAGTTTTGATTAGGTGTTGGTAGGTTAAGTTGGGTTAGGGTAGGTTAGGTTAGATATAATAGGTTAAGTTAGGGTAGGTTATGTAATGATAGGTTAAGTTAGGGTAGTTAAGTTGGTTTAGATTAGGGTAAGTTAGATAAGGTCAAGGCTAGCATAAGGTCCTAAAAGCCCAACAGACCTTGTATGACTTACCAAATTGAAATCGATCTTTTATTAATGGACGAAAGGGGGTTTCTCCGTACCTTGTAATTCTTGAAGTAATCGTTGATGAACTTGTAGGCCTCAGCCCAGTTGCCTACGGTAGACCAGGGTGGGTTCTCGAGAGGAAAGTCTGGTTTGTAGGACCCCCGGGGAGCAGGTGGGTCTAGCCAGTAGTCCCTGATGTGCTGGATGACGTCCTTGTCGAAGGATTTGAGCGGGCTCTTCAACATCCCCGTCAGACATTCTGTTGGTTTAAAAACAGTGGTTGATGGTAATGTAATTTGTTCCCATTCCCTCCCTCTTTCTTTATCAATCCTGGCAAATATAGTGGGAGTTTGTGCAGTCCTGGGATCCTCTTTGACTCTGTTTCCCTCCTTATATCTCTCCTTCCCTGTTACTCACCGTCTTGGCAGTAGTAGTGTAGACCAGTGCCTGCGCGGAGGGCCAGATTGAGCAAGGCGCAGGAGGAGAGTGCCCCTAGTACCAGGAACTTGACGTATTTCCTCATCACCCATGAAACCATTAGGTCCACTTGGTTTATATCTTGAACCATCTGTGCCGAAGATACTTGGTGAAGTAAGAGTTTTTTTTTATTTTAAGGAACCTTTCTAGAAAGTTTTAGTAATAATCGTTATAAAAAAAAAATATGAAGTTACGGACGGACAAATGGCAACGGAAAATTGACCAAAGAGAACAAAGTGAAAAAACGAATAGATGTTAAAAAGCAATGACGATTCCTCTTACATTTCGGAAATTTCTGACAATGAAGTTATTGTTGACATCTATAATGGTGTTGAAGAAGTCACAAACCAAGAATGGGGTAGTCGTATTCACTACTTTGCAATGTATTCAACTCCAAGACTATCACTAACACTAAAACTGGTGGGATATTCTTATCAGTTCCAGACGACCTATGGATTAACCAAAAGTTTGAGGCTGCAGTTACATCTTGAAGACGACTGAGTTGCTTTCATTTCGTGGTGTGGTGAATGGTGATCTGAGTACATTGCTTCTGATTTCGAATTATCACTAGCTACTGTACTTTTTGATCTGATACTGGAAAGGATTCAGACTAATATTACTACTACTAGCCTATTATTACTACAACACCAACTGCTACTACTACTAGCTTACTAATACTGCAACACCAGCTACTGCTACAAGCTTACTATTACACCAATTACTATTGCTATTAGCTGACTATTACTACAGCAATAATTACTACTAGGGCTATAAACTGTAGTGAATTTATGTACTTGTATATCTCAATAACTTAAATGACAAAAAGAATTAATCACAAATCTGGCAAAGTTCCTTATGGTGTTACGTGTTATAATTTAGCTAGATACTACAGAAGTCAGATAGTGTAATTATGAATGTTTCGTTTGTGACATGATAAATACTTAATATCAGTGGATTATATAAAACGTTGGTTATTGATGAACAGGAGTTACGAGAGAGATTCGCTAGAGACAAATATTTATTGATCTATACATAGGTCAAAGATGTCTATAAAATTGTTCTCAAGTGATTTGGCGAGGAGTTTTCCACTAAAGAAATCGTTCATTTTATATATAATTTGAGCAGAAAACGTGATATTCAACATATTGTAGTAAGCATTAGGAAGAGCTGCACATTACCAGTAATTGTGCACCGTACACCTACACTCAGCGCTCCCATTTGTAGTAAGAAAAATACACTTACCTCATGTGAAGATATTATTCTGCAAAAGGTGATAGTAATTTACGGTAATGGATCAATCTACCACGCTCTTGCACCGTGAGGAAGGAAGGTACTAGGCCAGCCTCCACGAAGGCACGAACGACTACTGGATGTGTGAAGTGAGCCACCCACCAGCTGCCTCCAGAACGATGATCACCACCACTGTACCACTGTAACCTGATATACCTTATAAGTATGTGCTGTATGCGATATTATAATACATACTGACTATTTTTTATCCATGTATTGAAGTGATTCACCAAATTAATCAATGAACAATGCAAGTATCCATAATATTATAGAATAAATTATAAGATAATAATCATCTTTAGTTATAAGAGCCAGGAAACATTATGAGCGTAAATAAGATTACGAATAGGAGGAAGAATTAAAAGGAATTCCTGTATTTTAGGTATGAAATGACATAGCCTCCGATAATTTCAGGAATATCGAAAGAAAAACCAGGCGGGTGTGGCGGTGTGTGGCAACTGATGGTTGACGTGGTAATCATGCCTGCGGTCACCTCAACAGGATAACTGAAATTTATTTCATACATGCTATTGATGTACTGCTTAAAACCCTAAAATAACCTTTGGTATTTCATATACATTTAACAGGGGCTTATTAAGCTTTCTACGGGCTCGTTCTATCAGGAAATCTTTAATTATAATACTGTGCATCAATAGTCACCCAGTATATATACAGTACCTACTCTTATACACACTAATTTATCATTTGCTTTAGTATAAACATAGTATAAGCAACGCGTTAACTACGGTGTCGTTGGAGGAAGTGATATTCTTAGATATATTGGTGGGTGGCAGGTTAAAATACCGCTCTAGCATAAATGTACTGTACAGTACAAGTACACACAGTACTTGTTCATATTCTCAGTTTACACAAGACTAATACCAGAGGGAAGGACATGCGGTGATGTGGAGGAGTGAGGAAAGGTTATGCTGTGTTGTGTAGGAGTGAGGGAAGGACTTGAAGTGTTGTGTAGGAGTGATGAAAGGACATGAAGTGTTGTGTAGGAGTGAGGGAAGGGCTTGCAGGGTTGTGTAGACAAGGGAAGGACTTCTAGTATTGTGTAGGAGTGAGGGAAGGACTTGCAGTGTTGTGTAGAAATGAGGGAAGGACTTGTAGTATTGTGTAGGAGTGAGGGAAGGACTTGGTATGTTGTGTGGAAGTGAGAGAACTTGGTGTGTTGTGTAGGAGTGAGAGAAGGACTTGTAGTATTGTGTAGGAGTTAGGGATAGACTTGTAGTATTGTGTAGGAGTTAGGGATAGACTTGTAGTATTGTGTAGGAGTTAGGGAATGACATCTAGTATTGTGTAGGACTGAGGAAAGGACTTGCAGTGTTGTGTAGAAATGAGGGAAGGACTTCTAGTATTGTGTAGGAGTGAAAGAAAATTTTGTAGTAGTGTGTAGGAGTGAGGGAAGGACTTGCAATATTATGTAGGAGTGAGGGAAGGGCTTCTAGTATTGTGTAGGAGTGAGGGAAGGACTTGCAGTGTTGTGTAGAAATGAGGGAAGGACTTCTAGTATTGTGTAGGAGTGAGGAAAGGACTTGCAGTGTTGTGTAGGAATGAAAGAAGGACTTGCAAGATTGTGTAGGAGTGAGGGAAGGACTTGCAGGGTTGTGAAGGAGTGTGAGAAGAACTTATCTATCCACATACTAACTTTGGTTAATAGCCATCTTAATAGCAGTATTATCTGTCTATCCACATACTAGCTTTGGTTAATAGCCATCTTAATAGCAGTATTTTCTGTCCGAGCCACGGCATCACAACTCCTGTACACACGGCGGAGAGCTACACTACCGCCTCCTCCTCCCTGGACCCCACAGTACAACAACACAACTTGTTATCACCTTACCTTCACTCAACTGCTAATAACCACAACGTAGAGTCCTGGAAGTCCTCACGACGCCACAAACACGAGGAAATCCACAAACAGCAAACGTAAAACATGGAAATAGCGATCAAATACTGTATGACCACACACACCCATGTTGCCACCACCACTGCTGTACCTCTAATGATCACTGGCGATTGGCGAACCCGAGGTGCTTCGATTCATTAATTCATTGGTTCGCTTTACTGATTCACATGAAAATAATCGACTGGACGGAAAGAACACCATACACGATTGGTCCGTCATCTATGATCTCATTAGTTTTCTTAAATCACTTCTATCCACCATTAGCTAAAATAAAACTGATAATTATTAACGAAAGATAGTCATGAGTTTCGATGGCAAGTACTGGGCAAAGAACTGGCTCCAGAATGTATCTGCACCTGCGCCAGTGTTGGTCAAGTCTGGTCTTGAATGAGCTCACTCTCGGTGCTGTCACACTCTCTGGCAGAGTGTGCCAAGAGTTGACAAACTCAGAAAAAGTTTGCCTCGACAATTTTCCGAACTTGTGGCTTCTTCAACCATACGCTGTGAGCACCCGCTGTGAATTTTGAAGTTCATTTGATAATTTGGAAACTTTTAGTGTGCAAAATGTTATCCTAGCGTGTAAGTTTTGAAACCTTGATCATTTTTTGTAAATCTATTGTCATAATGTGATTTTTCCAATTTATTATCGTTATAGTAATCCTGAAACCATATATTGAGAGTTATAACTTATTTTTGGGGGTAATTAAACGTAAGATAGAGTTGTAACCACAGAACACCTCCCCTTCCCTCAGAACACACTGTGGTTGCGACATACTCCGGGTAACTTGCCGCCTCTTCTTCATCGTATACAGGAAGGCAGCAACAGACTCCTTCAGTATGTGTCCAAGGAGGTAAGGAGAGGTCATGGCTGTCGGGGGTGATGAAGGAGGTGCTAGTGGTGAGGAGGAGTGAGTGGAGAAGGTTGAGGAGGAAGGGTGATGAGGTAAGGAAGAGAATGAAAGGTGAGGAGTAAGGGGAAGAGGAGAGAGGGAAAGAAGGATGAATGGGGGTTAAGAGGGACTGAGAGAGGGAGAGGAGCCAGCAGTGAGGGAGGTGGGGAGGGGGCCAGCAGTGAGGGAGGTGGGGAGGGATTGAAGGAGATATTATTTTTGTATCTCTGTCTTTGCTTGTGTGTATTATACTCGTAGGTGTGTGTGTATATGTGTGTGAATGTTTGTGAATGTTTATTTATTGTGTATGTATGCTTCTGTCTGTATAGGTCAATATATGTGTTTACTTGATACAATATCACTTTGTCGACATAGCACTAACGTACACTAATATATATATATATATGGCAATAGAGTATATTATAACCATCCAGTGTTGTGTTCTGACCTTTAGTGACCCTCTCTCTCTCTCCCTCTCTCTCAAAATACCTGGGGGACTCAGGTAAAGGTACAGTACTTGTCTCCATCTCTCTCTCTTTCTTTCTTTTTCTCCCTCCCTCCCTCCCCCTAACCTAACCCCAGTAACCTCTCCTACAGGATCGTGAGCTGGGAGACTTAGTAGAGGTGCAATGCTTCAGCGCCGGGGCAATAGCTCGTGCTGCTCTGAACACTTCCAAAGTTGATTTTCTTGTCATCTCGACCCACGGCGGGGAGATGGATATACTCAGCGCTCTTGGCCCCACGATTATGTTCAGAGTGAGTGTCGGGGTGTAGGGTCAGGGCATAGGGTGAGTGTCAGGGTGTAGGGTCAGTATGTAGGGTGAGTGGTAGGGTGTAGGGTCAGGGTGTAGGGTCAGTATGTAGGGTGAGTGGTAGGGTGTAGGGTCAGGGTGTAGGGTCAGTATGTAGGGTGAGTGGTAGGGTGTAGGGTCAGGGTGTAGGGTCAGGGTTTAGGGTGAGTGGTAGGGTGTAGGGCGAGTGTCAGGGTGTAGGGTGTGTCAGGGTGTAAGGTGACTGGTAGGGCGTAAGGTGACGTGCAGGAGTTATGTGAGGTGTAATTAGATCAGGCTTGGTTAAGTTGGATTAGGTTAGGTTATGTATGTTTTGGTTATGTTAGATTAGGTTAGGTTGTTTGGTTAGATTAGGTTATGTTGTGTTTTGGTTAGGTTAGGTTAGCGTTAGGGCTGTTTAATCATCACGTGAAATATAATTGGAGGTTCTTAATCATCACGTGATTCTCCCCGTCTTCCCGTAGATGATCGTGGTGGTGGTGCCGTTAGCTACCAAGCAGGAATATGATGAGCTGGATGCTGCTGCTAAGTCGAGAGGCCTGATAACAGCGTTCAACAAGAACAACTGCAACTTATCGTGTGTTTTACTACTCTCAGCTTCCTCCGACTGGCTCTCAGGGACTCCATAAACTTGTATGTTGTTCCTGTGCTGGACACGTTCCCATTATTCTTCCTCTCCCCTAACAGTAGGTCTGCTAGTTGCCATCTCTTCGACACACTTCTTCAGAGTCTCTAGCTGCTGAAGAACCGGTTCTGATCCTGCATTACTCTCCGTGGCCCTGCTAAGGATTGAGCGTAACTCCTCTTCACTACCACCTCCATTCTATCGGCTACTTCCTCAGTCTTAGCAAGGATCTCTTCCCCAACTTGTTCAAGTTTGGCAACCAGCAAGGAACCAGCTTCATCTATTTTCGTCCCAAGGAAACTAGTTCCCTTATGGCTTGCAATCTCCTCTTTCACCTTGACTATGCACTATGCAGTCAAGGCAATACTAGCAACAGCCTTCATGCCTTACCGCATTCTGTAACGTCCTTAACGTTGCATTGCTGAGGCTCGCACAATCTATATCCGAAGTCGCCCCGCAGTAATTGCATGTGAGCAAACTTCCTGGTGCCGCTTCAGCCCCTGATTCCATACCCCTCACGGTTGTTGTTGTTTAGGAGGGGGGGGGGGGTGGAGGTGCAAATTCTGTACATATCTACTCAGCCTTAAGCCTACCATCTTCAAGCCTCAGGTCCAATACTCCTACTCGCATTTTTAATTTAGACTTTGCATAGCGGTAAAATGCCTTTGGGTTTGACTTGACCTCGCTTGCAACCAGCCTCTGGAACTCCTTTTCAGCCCTTCAATCTGACTTTACTTGGTTCCTGGCTCCTGCATACATCCTCCTGTCCTGCTCATCGCTTGACCTAACCCACGCGTCTCCTTGTATTCCTAGAGGCACTGGGTTTGGTCTTGGGTACATATTTCTCGATCAAATGGATCACTTTCCTAGCTATGATATTCATCGTAGTGTCTTATGCCTTAGTGAGTGCATACACATTCTGGAACCAGTACATAGCCAGTACTTGAGAACAGTGAATAAAAGAGATGTAACCAACTGCCCAAGCAGCTAACAAGCAGATGAGTGGTGTAGAGGATAGAGTACTACTGTAAACCAAAAATTTGTAGGAAAATAGGAAATACAGTAATATTTCCGTTTGCCAGAATCCCTCAAACCTGGAAGTCTCTGATAGCCGGAATTGAAATTTTCTCGGAAAATCGTTCCCAAAGCCAGAATTTTCCAGAAAATTCTGGCTTTGGGAACGATTTTTTGAGGGCCACATTTTCCGGAAAATTCTGCGAAAATTATCCCGCTACCCGGAAAATTCTGGGTATGGGGGAGTTTTTATCTTGGTTTGAGAGATGAAAATCAGGTGCATTTTCTGGAAATTCCGGGGATGAGGGATTTTTTCGGGCTTTGAGAGAGTCGTCTCGTTATCCGGAAATCTCTCATTCCCATAAGTGCTCTGCACCAATTGTTCTAGCTAACGGGGATATCACTGTACTACAAATCTTCAAAAAATATATTTATTTCAGAATAATTCATCATGGAATACATCGTGGTAAATACTGTACAGTATTAGAATACAGTATTTGAAGAGTCGTAAATTTCAAAAGATTTTACAATACTATGTAATTCTGAACGTTACATACATTTTGACTATTTATTGAGCTTTACAAAATACCGGACAATTTAGTTGACACAAGTTCCCTGCTTCATCCTAATAATTTATATACTTGTATCTCTACTGATATATATCTGAGCTGTACAGTTGCAACCAAAATTCCATAACACTTTTGGCAATACACTTGTACTGTACAGTATCTGGCATTTACTTATGGGTAATATAATTATTGTACTGTACATGTGATTGATTTGTAGATGATGATGTTGCTTTTCATTATAAATTACTATAGTATGTTAAAATAACCAATAGAAAATAAATATAAACCCCTGTAGTACTGCATAAAGAAAATGTGGGCATAGTACTGCATCTCAATCTCCTTACCTATATAACTACTGTATCAAGGAGATGCCAGACACATGCTCTCTATTGTACTACCAAAAAATATCCAGAAAATTTTCTCTCCAACTGTATATATTAAAAACAAAATATGTAATTACTTCATACCTTCCATTTGTTATACAATAAAAGTATCTTACCTCACACAGTTACTTTATTAATAGATTGATAATGTAATGTTCTTTGACAATATAAATGTGGCATACTAATCCAACAAAGAATAAACCAACCACTCAAATGGCTAGTAAGCTGATAAGTTTTAAAAAAGCTAATAGTTATAATAATAATAGTAATAATAATAGCTTTAATATCTGTTGCTACTAATGCCCAGTACATAAGACATACTGTACTGTACTGAGGACCAATACAAAATTCTCATGAAATGGTTCAGGCATTATTATTTGACATCCAACAATAATTAGCACTGACTGGAGAAGAATTACCAGTACTAAAGAGAGAGAGACATGCAGAATATGTAGGCACTTTCCTGTGCAAAAGCTATGGCCTGTACCGAGATTTTAAAAGCTATGTATAGTGGCAGATTCTGGGAAAGATGGGCAGCTTCATCCAGTCCCAAATATTAAAGCTCAATTGGCTCTATGGTGACCACTGGGAGAGATAGATGAACTGGGTTTGAGTCCTTGACACTACTGGATCACCAAATGCCACAAAAAATATTGATTCTCCAATCTTATGAGGCCACGGTTACTGAATAGCACTTTGTGAACTATGTTAACAGCTAAGACACACCTGACACTGCTCTCTTAATGTTAACAACTGTCACAAGAGAAGCATCAATACATGATCTACAGGGAGGTTCTCAAGAGGTCTTACACAAAATATCAATGATGCTGATCTTTGATTATTGAGTAGAAGCTGACCGCTGGATACATGATAGACCAAAGTACTGTACAGTAATTGGGATTTTATAAATTAGTTACTATCTGTACATGTGAGTTCAGAGTTTTATAATGGCAGTTTCCTGAAATATTTGCAAATATAGTGGTAAAAATGAATTTATTTTCTGCTTTTGTTGACAGTATCCCTCTAACACTTTCTGGACACGGGATTGAACTCGTGTCTTAAGTGTTGAACCTCTTAGTGTTACCGTGATAATGGTGCCCTATTTTTTTAAATTGACTATATAATGAAAATTAATAATGATAAAGTACAATGCAAGTAATCCTTGTGAATGTATCAGCAACTTGTCCTTCACCGGTAGTGTCACACTCTACACAAAATTCCTATGTCCAGTGTACAGTAATTATATTGTAATTCCTTTTGCAGGATCCATTACATCAGAAACCTTAAGAACTATATATCACTGGTCAACAGAAAAAACTGGCAGACTGAGTTAATTTGCACTCACTGATCTTTTATACAGCACCAAAGTTCTTGATAAATCTAGTCCTAAAAGTAAAAATAAAGATGCACTGTTGTCTCAGTTCACAAACCTCAGTATCTACAAGATTCAGTCACATACTGTACTGTACTAAAGTTCCAGAAAGAATTCCACCTGCAGGGTATTTTTGTTTACGAGTATTGTACGTATTTATCTATCGTCCTGACCATCCTCCAATGATGCACCTGGGTCATATACTGAACATACTAAGTATATCTATACATATTATATCTTTCATGTACTGGTACTCTTTTGAAATGACCTGGAAAATGAAGGGTTAATTTTGAAGATAATTTAATAACTAAGTTTACAGCTTGTTGACTGAAGTAATTTACTCACCAATAGTGGCTGGGAGATTCATCTTACTGTTATTCTGCTTCCCTATTGCAACAGTTAACAATAAAGAAAAGGGAGACTAGAAGTAACTGCCTCACAATAAGAGAGCAGGAGGCCTGGCAAGTAGGGATGACACAACAGTGGGCAATACATCTACTTTGTCAGTTTGGATGGTTTCCAGGACCACCCCATTAGTTCCAGCTGACCTCCACTCCCCATTTGGAGGAAGTGGGGTTGTTAAGTCACTAAGATGTGGGCATGGGAATAAAATGCTTGCTGACTACAATAACTAATGCCAGTTGGAGCATAGGAGGTAGTGATCTGAAAGTGCTCTACATGCTAATGAGATACACTGCCACAGAAGGGGAAGTCAACATACTACAGTATAATACAAGACTGACATTAATTCAGATTCCTGGACCTCTATAGTTAATAACCACAGCATCAAAATAATAAAATTTTATCACAGAGTTACAGAAGAGTAAGTTTTGTCACAGGAACTGGCAAATGGCACACTACTGCTTGTTAGTATCACCTTTAAAACAAACAATGAATAAATGGACCAACTCTATGACCATCCCATCCACTAATGTTATACAGTTCCCCGAGTCCTGTCACTGAAAAGAGTGAAAGCACTTCTCGAGAGACCCAGTGGAAAGTGTCAAGTCATAAATACATCTTCATAAACTACATTAGCCATATACAGTATAAAAGTTTGACACATGTGCCCAATATCATCATTACAGTAGTAGATTAATAAAGGACCACACTAACACCACAAGAAGTCATCTCTTAAAGGCAACAATAAGACAGATTGTTTAAAGTCTCACTACACAAAATCACAGGAGGGGCTGATAAATAAATAACTACATAATCTGTTATTTTCCGCAGAAGGACACAACATCACCCAAGACCACAAAACAAGAGGAGGAACTGAAGATTACAAAGAAGGGTACAGCACAGTAAACCTTTATGTATGTTGTATCCAAAACAAAACACAATGTACAGGGTATTGCATTTTTAAAGAGTACAGTACAATATTGTATGCCATTAATACTGTATTGTCAATTTTAACTAGCAGTCCGACCAATAAAATATTAATAAATAGCCGTGTTAAACCAAAAACAGTGTTACAGAAATAATAAATAATATCAATCATCAATAACAATGTTCCTACACAAAACTGACTAAACATTATTATATTACAGATAAATAGAAACAAGATTAACATAACAATGCAGAGCAAGTAAACCATATCTTTCAATAATTACCAAAACTTAACAAGTCACATTCTTAAAACTTACACTGCAGTATTTCCTCTAAAACAAACTTATGACATGACGACAACTTATAAGACTTTTTAACAAGGTTTCTGGACAACAGTTACAACTCTCCATGACATTTGAGTATTTTTCCAGTTGACAGATGGGACCATGTGAAGATTAGCCTTCTAGCTTATTTCACTTTAAGCTTAATCACCCTAAAATTAACTTAACCAAGCCTAACCTACCCTAAAATAACATGATATAACATAACATATATTCTAACCTAATCTAGCCAAACATGAGCAAACTTAACAACATAACCTAATAGTCTAACCTACCCTAACATAACATGATATAACATAACATATATTCTAACCTAATCTAGCCAAACATGAGCAAACTTAACACCATAACCTAATAGTCTAACCTATCTTAACAATACATCACAATATATAACCTAATCTAACCTCAACACCCAGGTAGCATTAAGGTGTTTAATCATCAGGGGAAATATGCTGGATGGGGTGTTGAGGAGGCGGGTAGTGGCAATTATCTCCAGGTGTACAGTACAGTAACTAATGTGACACAGTAATCAAAGCACAGTACATCGACCTGATAATGACCTCATACGGTATCTTAGGTTCATAATCATTATTTTTTTGGCATCTATTTAATTTACTAATGTTTATCGAGTATTGGCTGGTAAATGAATCAATGCCATACGTTTTCACCTATAAATTATTGCAATATATGAAATCTGATTATAGTAAATGCTTAAAAAATAAAAAAATAAATTGGCAGTGAGCTTACCAGTATGAGTTGTTAAGGGTGTCCAAAATGGGAATAGTTTAGATGGAAGGTTATATGTACTGTCATACATGGTAAAGTTCATCATTCTCACAGCAAATAACACCACTCTCACTTCATGAGTGTCCTACAACTCGTAAAGAATGCACGCACGCACACGTCAGGGAGAGAGAGAACAACCCAAGATCCACTGACTCTCACTCAGTCTCACAGGAATAACAATTTTCACAAAAGTTCCACATCTTCTTGCAAAGAAAACTACCGCCAAATATTTCCTACATTTCTAGTTATTCTGTAAACTGAGAAACCAAAAAGAGAGAATCAACAATACTATAATATCAACATTGGGCAAATACAGTATATTCATTACTTATCCCTGGTGAAAGTACTCATCTGCAATTTTAAGCTAGTACAGTACCAATGTAATGTTTATATACAGTATATGTACAGGTACTATAACTCTTGCCTCATGAGACAAGTTTTCTTTGTGACAAGGATTTCAAATAATCATTCGTGAAATATATCTGGTTAAACAAGACGACTATAAAACAGTATATACAATACATATAAAAGAAAGTAGGTCATTTCACAACCCCAACACATAATTCAGATGAGAATATAAGATTGCTACATTGCTACACTTTGTACAGAGATATGTCGGACTATATTGTCAAACCTCAGAAAGATTTTAACCATCAATAGCATTAACATGAACTACAGCCTGACCGTCTGTTTCATCTTGGCTGTTGCGTACTTGTTGCAAGATAGACTGCAGGAGCTTGGGATCCATGTCATGAGTGGCTACTACCTGTGGTCCAGCCATCAAGTAGTCCTTCAGGTAGTCTGGGTGAACCTCCACCACAGAATAAGCTGCTTGTTGCTCTCCGTGTGCCAGTATATCAGTATCCATGGTTATGGCAGTGTGTTCATCCTCCTCCACTGTGGCCTGTTCGTTTACCTCCATGGCAGTTTCATGGACATTAGAAAACATGGATTTTTCGACCCCCTCCACTTCTTCCATGCTCTCCATGTTCTCAACAGCCTCTACATTTTCTAAAGAGTCCATTGCCTCAATCTGAGACACATCCAATATGTCGTGAGCCTTGGCCAAATGTTTTATTAGAGTGGTTCGCTGGGTGTAGCCTCTCTGACATATAGAACACTTATATGGGTGTGACCCAGTATGGAGTGTGACATGTCGTTCAAGCTGCAGCTGTGTAGAGAAGCCCTTGCTGCACACTGAACACAGGAAGGGGTACTCTCCCGTGTGACGCATCTTGTGATTAAGAAGATTAACTTTACTCCGGAAAGGCTTGTGACAAACGTCACACTTGTGGGGACGTTCTCCCGTGTGTTTGATTTTGTGAACGGCAACTTCAAACTTCTGAGCAAAACGCTTCCCGCACACATCACAGGCATGCGGCTTAACTTCTCTGTGCCTGTATTTGTGTTTTGTCAAATACTGTTTCTTAGCAAAAGATTTACCACAATCATCACATCTAAAAGGCTTTTCCACAACCCTCTCCTCCTCCTCCTCCCGCTCGTCCATCTTCTCGTGCACCATTATCACCTCGGGCGGCGGCACGTGTTCCACTTCGGCTTCTTCTTGCTCTGGGTCCGGTGCCTCTGTAAGCTCAGAATATGGTGTATTGGCTGCTTCTGGGAACACTAAGAGAGGCTGAGAGCCATCTACCAAAAACTGCTGTTGACTATTGTCAACTAAGAGCTGTTGAGTGGAGTCCATAGCCTCACCCACTTCTCCCACAGTCTCAAACACATACAAGTGGTGAGAGTTGTCTGCTGTTGTTACACTTTCTACTCCTGGATTCATCATCATCATGCCTTGCATATGACTCGCTTTATGTTGGTTCAGAAGTTCTGGACTATAAAAACTCTCGTCGCACTCGTCACACCTTAGAGCATTTACGTCCTGGACGGGATGCGAGCGCTCGTGACGCTTCAGGTTGGAAGAGCTACGGAATTCTTTATCACACTGACTACACTTGAAGGGCATTTCTCCTGTGTGAATTAAATGATGATTCTTGAGGGCAAGTCTGGATGCCAATTGCTTTCCGCAATAAGTACACGGAAAGTTGCGTTGACGTGAATGGACATTGTGATGCGTGTAAAGGTATTTCTTCTTATCAAACACTCTTCCGCACACCTCACACATGTAGAGATGAGCTTCAACACTACCGTCTGTCTCAAGGCCCATGACAGCATTCTGATATTGTTGTTGAAAGTGATGAAACTGTCGATGTTTTTCTAGATGATGTTCTCGCCTAAATTTGTGGTTGCAAACATCACATTTAAACATCTCTTCACGAATATGGTCCCGCATATGCAGATTAAGGCTGCCATTATTTATGAAGGTCTTCCCACAGTTACCACACTTAAATGGTCTTTCTCCAGTATGAATTCTCATGTGTATTTTGACAGATTCATAATTAGCAAAATATTTGCCACAAGTTTCACATTGGTATGGTTTTTCTCCACTGTGCATTCTCTTATGCTTTAACAGACGGCCGCTCTGTGAGCATCTGTAATCACACATATCGCACTTATATGGTTTCTCACCGCTGTGAATTCGTTTATGAGTATTGTAATTACCGCTTGTAGAAAAGCTTTTGCCACACTCACACTTGAATGGTTTGTCATCAATGTGCTTCTTCTTGTGCATGATAAATAGTGATCGTTTGTGGAAGTTTCGTCCACAAACATCGCACGTAAACATGAAGGAATGCATGACCTTGTGTCGAATGATATCACTCTTGTGCACAAACAACTTATTACACAACCCACACTTCAAAAGCGGAGTACCCGAGTGTAAGAGTTTGTGGCGGACAAAGTGACTCTTGTGCGCAAAATCTATGCCGCATTCATCGCACTTGAGAACTGCAGGAAGTGTACTGCCGGTTATTATCTCCCCTCCGTCCTCGCCTTCTTCGGGAATAAAAGGCAACTCGGGGCCTGGACGGAGAGCTTCACGCAAGTGCACGTGGGAGTGCCTAATTAAGGTCAGCTTTGTGGCAAAAGCTTTCTTGCAAATGTCACACTTCCAACTCTTGACTCCTTTATGGGTCAGTTTATGCTTCTGCAGGTACCTCTTCTCACGGAATGTACGGTGACACACGTCACACTTGTACGACGCCGACAGTTTGTGTGTTAGTTTGTGTGTGAGGAGCAAGACGTAAGATGAGAAGTTCTTACCACAGTATTCACAACCGTGTTGACCGTCTCCTCTGGCATCTCCGTACACTTCTCCGCCGCCTCTGTTCTCTTGTTTTACGCTGTGGCACTGTTCTAACAGCTGTTGCTCCTCAGTTTCCGACGTCTCTGCCAGGCGAGATTTCACCGACTGGCCGGCATCTCCGTGGCTGTCGAGGTGATAACTAAGAAGGGCTGGAGTGAAGAAAGTTTTACCACACAACTCACACTTGTTCTGATTTTTAAGTCTGTGAGTCCATAACTTGTGTCTGACCAGGGCTGCACTCTGTCGAAAACTCTTTAAGCAAATGTCACACTTAAATGGCCGTTCTCCAGTGTGAACTAAAACATGCTTATCTAAGGCAGACTTTAATGGAAAACCAGCACCACAAAGTTCACATTTGTAACTCTTTTCGTGCGTGTGGGCTCTGTGATGCCGTACAAACTCCTGATGTTTTCTGAAGCTCTTTCCACATACAGGACACACAAATGGAAATTCCTCAGTTGGTATTGTGTGTATCATTGACTGTTGTTCTTCAAAAAGATGGAGTTGTTTATGCTGCTCCAATTGTTGATCTGTAGCACAACCTACACTACACACATCACAGTACACTTCCTGATCACCAGTGTGGGAGTTAGTGTAGTGATCGCACAACACATCAACGTCTGTGAAGGATTCCTCACAAATACCACACTTGAATGGATTAACAGGAAACTTACTCTCAAGTGTCTCTGATTGCTTAGGTTCATCATATAATTCTGAGGTTTTTGGAGCATATCCTTCATTAAGCTGTTCTTGAAGCTGTTCAACAATGGACACTTCACTTGGGAATGATTTTACAACAGATTCATTTTCCTCTTTGACAAGAATGCCATCCCCATGTACAGTGGACATGTGTTTTGTCAAAGTTCTTTTATAGGTGAAGTTGGCCTGGCACACAGTGCACTTAAGCTCATTGTCAAGTCCTTCAACAGGATTGCTAGATCTCTTGTGAACTTTCCTGTGGCGGTTGAGGCCACTACTGGTAACAAAACCTAAACTACAAATGTCACAAATAAATGGTCGATTTGAAGTATGTGTCTTCATGTGAGTGTAGAGTGTGTCTCGGTGAGCAAAAGTGCGACTACACACTGAGCACTTGAACTGGTGACTGTCTTCATGAATGGCCAAGTGTTTCTTCAGTTGTGATGCCTGAGCAAATGCTTTTAAACAGTGATGACACCTATGTGGTCTCTCTCCTGTGTGAGTGAGTATGTGGGTCTTGAGATGGGAGGGGTCAACAAAACCTTTGCCGCAGTAATCACAACGGTGCGGCCTCTCTAGGCCGTGCACTCTGTGATGAGCCTCCAGTGCAGTGTGAGACGTACAAGTCTTGCCACACTGGTTACACTCAAACGGTCGAAGATCGTGTTTCTGACGAAGATGACGAATATAATCACGTTTAAACTGGATGACGTCCCCACATTCTTCACACTTGTGGCAGTCTACATTACCATCATCTGAAATATAAGTTTACACAGATTAATGAAAGCTTTATATACTGTATGCATTCATTTAGTAGCAACCAAGCACACCAGCTGCTCTGTGACATCAGTGGAAAGAGAATTAAGGAAAAGTTCAAACAAAGAGGGTGTTCCCTTTCCCACCACCTGTTCTCTCCAAGGTCACACCAGTATTCTGATACACTTTTTCACAAACTTAACTATCCTATCAATTAGAATCTACTTTCACATTATCCCCCTCAAAGAAAAAATTAAACCAAGATGAATAAAAAAAAAATAAGTAAGAGGAATGGAGATGTGTATGACCTTCATAAACTTAAGACACCAGGAAGCACAACTTTTTCAGAGTGTCTATAACATATACATTATACATGTCAGAAGAGGATGTGTTGGTCTGGTTAACTTATTTATGAAGAAACTGTAACTTATTAGCAATAAAAATTAATCATATACAAAACATTAGACAGTGTATGATGTTAGGAAACACATATGAAGGAGACTTACAGTACAGAGTTACAGTGTTAACAAGGCATCAATAAGGATTAGAATAAAGGATAAAAAATACAGGTTTAGACCCATGAAACCCATTATCTGGGGTAAGGATAAAAGATAAAAGGTAAATATAAACAAAACAATATTGCTTGAAGCACCTTGTCAAGTGTGAACATATGAGCCAATACTGAGATCTGAGGCATCGTGTAAATGGAGAAAAAAATAAGACTAACTTCACTTGAGATTCGTATCTGGAGAGGAACAACTTTGTTCTCGGAATTTCATTAATGAAATGAATTTTAAAATTAATCTGTCACCAAAACATACAAAACCTGGGCTAGCTGTCAGGCAGTGTTAAATAAGATAATACAGTAACTACACTGTACCTGTTCCATGTTCTAAAGGTATTGATAAGGTACAAAATCCATTACAATTACAGTTAATGCCTTTAAATTATGTTGCTTCAAATAACACATAGGTATATTATGTAAATATATTTACTCGAGACAGATTAAAAAATACAATATACAAAATATAATCTTACCAGTTGGAAGCTCAATGTCCTCTTCTGTCTGAGTACCTTCTGCAGGAGGAGAATAAAGGTGAACACAAACACATACTGTATAACATTTAGAGAAAATAAATTAACCCCCAAATTTTCTTCTCAGCAGGGCAGCACTAATTACTGCAGAGTATGAAGAACACAGGTGGTGATAACTATCCAGACATTTGACAGTGACAGAGAGAAGAGTAAGTGTAACTATAAGCCAAACAGTTACCACAAGTGACCTTGACTTTGGACTTCAAGATCAGTAGGGCTTTAATCCTTGTATTTGTACTCAGAAAATGGGAGCTCAAGTTATCTTAAAGAAGGTAATGTATTATGGAAGGATGGAGAGACAGATGATTGGGTGAGTGTTGTATACTCCTCTCCCTTAGCATCTGTTTGAGTGGGAATAATGATGAGACTGATCGAGTAAAGTAATCTCTAAGATCATCCACACAGGTGGAAAAATGAGAATAACACACAGTACAGTATATAGACAACAAGAACTTCAGCCAATTTTCCAAGAATGGAAAAGGATTTTGGAGAGAAGAAATGAAGAAACATGAGAACATCTGAAGTAACAGATTAATTGAACTGAAAAGGATTGGGGACACAGATGTCAAGAAGAAGATGTACTGATGGAACTAATTTTTGGGCAAAAGAAGACTCTCAGGGTAATGTAATAATAGAATGAATTGATATAAAGAAAACTTGAGGCATCAGGAAAATATTCTACAGCTGCCTCTATGGTGTGATATCAGGTACAGTACTATTACTCACAGAATGACAAAATGTTATGAAAGCCGATTCAATTTTGGCTAATTCTATTGCTATTGTGTAATGTCCAGCCAAGAAATAGTTACTAATATAAATGTGCTGACTAAAGAGATGTAAGAAAGTGGGACACCAATATCTTAAGCTATACTGTATATACACAAATAGAGAGAAGAGACAAGTGAGACAGTTGGCTGACCAGTAGTAGTGTGGTCTTGGAAGTCATCTTGCTGCTGAGCTGCAGGAGGAGGTGGTAACATTGTGATGACCACTTCTCCCGTTTCTGGCCTCTGGAATGTGATGAGCAGGTTGTGCTTCTCTGCTTCTGTTAAGTCTCCCTCTGTCATGCTGGTGACCAAGTCCCTGGCAGTAACTTGTGTCATGTGGGAGGCATCTAGTGGTCCTCCCAGTAAGTGCTGCTCAGTGCCTGGCTCCACCTTTATCACGGGTGGAGGCGGCCAGTGCTTCCTTGGTCGCCCTGTTACCAAAATTGTATATAAATACTGTGACAATTTAAATTTTTGTACAAAGTAATAATTCTTTATCAGTTAGAAGGAATAATGACAAAAAGGTTAAATAATACAGTAAAGTACTGTACAGTAATTACATAAGTATTCAGGAATAAATCTACCATGTCATTCTAAATCTCAAGTAACTCAACTGAACACCATACAGAATATATTTGTTCTTCAATTAATTTCTTTTTATTTTATTTTTTTCACACCATCACCATTATCAAGCGAACACAAGATTGAAATTATGTTCCTGTGTTATATTACTGGAAGAAGAGAATTAGCTCTATTTCTTTTTATAGATGTAGGTTTTCTTCTATTACAGGATGAGGCTAACAGCAATCTCACTTGAATGAAAAGTTAATGGCAGTAACTACAATTCTTCAGTAACTTTTTTAGCATAGCAAGAACACCAGATCCCTTACAGTATACAGTATATCATCTTAAAATAGTGCAAGTAACTTATGAATCACAAAAAGAAATAGATGAAAGAGGTAGAGAAATAAATAAAGAAGTGATTTAGAGATACTGTACAGAGAAGAAAGGTGTGGAAGGATATATATGAACAAAACACCAGTGGCTTAGGTCAGTTCAAAGTACTGTAAATAAAGGCGTCATCTCCAGGTTAAAGTTAAGGGTTGACCGTTTGTTCCCGAGGTATAAAAAACCCAAGTTACAGTACAATACCTCTTTTGCCTGGTCCAGATGTCCCTCTTGTTTTGGGTGGTGGTGGTGGGCGGCGGTACGTGAGGTAGTCTGGGGAGATGTCTTCCTCCTCACCCATGGAGAAGTCATCATCATCATTCTCTCTCTTCTTTAAGGCCTGGATCATTTTCTCATACCTGTAATTATAAAATAATTTTTAATCCTGACTTATTAAAACTATTTGAGGAGACGTTTTAGAAACAAAAATGAAAAACCATTATCATTGTTATCAGATCCTATGAAAATGTGACATTCAACAATAACTTTACATTCATGTTTCATTAACACTCACAGCTGTAGGGGAAAACACTTGGTAAAGAAAATATCTATAGTAAAATTTAACAAAACATTATGATTGCCTACCAGAGGGTTCAAACACATAACATCTCATCCGTTTCTCATGGCAAGATACACATACGTCGAAGCCCTGGACCCGAGTGGTAGTCTTTACACGGGCATCAGGGGATAACAAGCCTGACCGCGCATGTAAGTGGCCATTAGCTGAACATAACAAAAGTGCCACAGTAAGTAACTATGTATTAATATGAAAGAATCATGCTCGTTTACCTCGCTCCTCTTCGTCTGGGAGGTAGTTTCCTCCTGTTGGGATCTACTTCCTCCTCTTTCTTTATTTCAATATCTATTGGCTCCTGCTTCAGGGCGCCCATCTCTAACACCCTCAACTCCTGCAGTCCATCACTGCCCTCCTCACCTGCCAACTCTATTGTCGGAACTGTTTCTACTAGTTCGTTCTCTGCAAATGTTAAAAGTTGCTAAATGATCACAGCCAATTTTATTCATGTTCAGTAAGTGTCATTTAGTTATACAGGTTATCCCTTGTTTAACTTGCTTTCATTTAGCAAGACTTTGTTTAGTGCATTTTAAGACCAGTCTTTCTAATAAGTACCTTTTTAAATTAGTGCCCAGTCGCTAGAACAATTCTTGATTCAGAGTAATATTGTGAACAGTAAATGGTGCCAGTACTCCCTAATGTGGGTTAAGTGCATTCATGGGACATATCATATGGTTACCAGGTGGCACTGTAGCGTTGTTTTGTGTAAATACCAGCGAACTGTAAACAACACTGGCCAAAAATTCTTCAGTTACGAACACAAGCTGGTCAAGTCCGTCAGTGGCTTTGATAATCATTTAAATATAAAGATGATGGAAACCTTACACTTCAAATTCTGGTTCATTGTCAATAAATGTTGATGGAAATATTTGAAAATATTCATACAAAAACCCTCTATTCACAAGCCATATAATGTGTCTTTGAGAATGTTACATTTCAATTTAATAAGGAAGTTGCAATTACTGATAAAACTAAATGACCAATTAAGTTTGTAGAGCTTAACAGACCTTGGTGATCCAGTTCTCCGTCCAGTCTAGTGTCGGGTCCGGTGTGAATCATACGAGCGCCGTGGGGCCCCTCGAGCAGGGTCTCCACCTGTGTGGTCACAATCATTATATTATCACTGCTGTAAATATCATATTCTCTCACACACTCATACTGGCTTATGTTTCTTGTTACATTAAGAACTCCTATCATACTATGGTTTAATGTAAATTGTAAATACTGTAAACTCCAACTACTAACACTAAACCGTTACATTTACAGAGAAAATAAAAAATATATATACAGTGTATACCTTTTTGGGCCTTCCAGGTCTCCTTCCCGAAGATGATATGACATAAGTCCCTCTTGGGCGGCCACGACCTCTCTTTTTACGCCGTCCACGGCGAGACATAACTGGAGTTGGTGGATCTATATTTGACAGAATAAACTCCTCATCTTCTGGTGGACCCTTGACCAGGACAGCTGATGCTGGTGAACCACCAGGCAGTGTCATGTCCACCACGATGCCCTCACTTGTCGAGTCCTCCAGCTTGATAAAGCCATCCAAGTGATGGTCTCCTGATGTCTCAGCCAGCAGTATGGAGTCCCCTGGAACTTCCTTCTTTAACAGTGAAACAGTTTTGGCAATCTGTTCCTTATCTACTTTAACCTCTGCCCTAGAGACAGAGGGAGGTCTGCCACGTCCTCCTCCTCTGCCTCTCCTTCCATAACGCTGATGTGGTCGTACGGGCACCGGAACCTTTCTGGCCCGAGAACTTTTTGACCCGTACGCATCGGAGTCGCCGGAACCTTTGATGCTGAGAATTAAAGATTTACTTTCCCTTAACTTTTTTAAGTCTTCTGGTCGGGGCAGGACAGTTACCATCCGGTTTCCAATCTTCTGCACAAAACCCTGTGCCGATATAGCCAGCGGACCGGAGCCGATCAGTTTACGGGGCTGGTGACTAGAGTTCTGCTTCCCCGACACGTGGCTGCTCGTCTTAAACACAAATGGTTTTGTACTTGAGGAATTATGAGGCCTGGATGTTGAGATTGGAACATGAATTTGTGAAGCAGATGATAGTTCATTGTGGTCATTCTGAATGGTGGACTGAGAAGTTATAACACTAAATGTCCCACTGGCAGTGGTAGGCACAGCTGAGGACTGAAGCACAGAAAGTACCCGACTGTGGGACACATCTGCGCCGCCGACCGAAGCAATGTTATCCGAGTCCACCGGCGAGGTTAACGTAATGGAGTCTCCGCCGGTCTCTCCCACCAGTGGTAACTGTAGGTGGCCGAGGCCCTGTAGTATGGAGACCCCGGTGCCGTCGTTCAGGAAAGAGAGCGGCAGAGTTATGGTGTGTGTCGACCCAGACTGGTCACTTGCCGGGATCTGTATTAACTGTTCCCCCAAGATGGCCGACGGAGACCCGTCCGCCGTATCCTCCGCGGCCGTTAAATAAGTGATGGACTGACCTCCCTCGCCGCCGGTCATGGTCACCCCAGAGTGGCCGTGTTGCTGGTCCAGCAGGGCGAGCTGTTCTCCGGTATCGTCTGCGGTCACGACGGTGATGGGTCCTTCTCCGGTGAAGTCTTGTTGCAGCACCATGCCCGCTTCACCTCCCAACTCCCCTTGATCCAACCCCAGCTCGCCGTGCACTCCGGGAAGCTCCACAAAATTGACCAGACTTCCATCTGATGTTCTGAGTAAGGGCAGAGCAGACTGGGGGTACACCACGGTGACCGCGTGCCCTGACTCATCTGTTGTGACATAATGTACCTCATCCTGTAGACTTGTATGATCTATGGAGTGTGCACCATCGTGGGTCATCATGGAGGTGACCTTGAGTGTGTCGTTTTCTCCGTCCATCGTGTCCACCACGCCAACACCGTCATCATCAGCCTCCACCAGGTGGTGAGATGTGACTCCATTAACACCTGCAAACAATATTATTGTTATCATCAGTTTTTACAGAACTAATAA